GCCTAATTTATTCGGGCTACTTTTAGCGTTCAGGTCAATAACTCTTCTGCTATTTTCTTTTATGTTTAAGAGCAGTGTGAATCATCTTCAAAATGTTGTCTTTTCTGCTGCAGTGAGGAAAAGGAAATCATTTGGGTTTGGATAAACATGAGGGTGACTTGATGCCAGAAAGTTTGATTTTGTATGAACTATATCGTCAATCATCCTCATGTCTTTCAAGCCTGAGTAACTGACTAAATCAAGTGAAACATTAAAGCAGAATGCTAATATTGCACTTTTGATATAAGATTAAAGCAAAAAAACGATTTTCATGCTTTAAAAATGACCATGCGGCTACTCCATATGAAAACTTTTCATCATGCAAAGCTATATTGTGACTTCAGAAAAGTTGGCACATTGGCAGTATGGATCTGGTTAGTTTACCCAATCTCCGCAGTGTCCTTGGCATCCCATTAACCAGTATCATGGAGTTTCTTTGTGTTTGATGACAAGAATGGACTTTCATATTTACAACCTAATTTATTTGGGCTACTTTTAGCGTTCAGGTCCTTGATAACTCTTCTGCTATTTTTTATTTTATGTCTAAGAGCAGTGTGAATCATCTTCAAAATGTTGTCTTTTTTGCTGCAGTGTGGAAAAGGAAATCATTTGGGTTTGGATAAACATGAGGGTGACTTGATGCCAGAAAGTTTCATTTTATATAAAATATATTGTCAATCTCCTCAAATCCCCAGTTGTCTGCATTCTCTAAAGCCCTGTAGGTTGACAGGAAGACATCAGATCACTTTTCTTTCATGCATTCGAAAATACTGTAGAGTAAATCCTACCGAGATTTTTGCAAACATGTAAATCTATCTAGCTGTATATTGCTGTTACTTTTGTTTACAAGCACACGTTATTTTCTTTCCTTGCCAGTATGTCACATATTGGGGGAAAATGTAAAAAGAATCAGCACTAAGTGTTTCATTTGTTTGAAATACTGTACACTAGTTGACAACCAAGAGATAATTTTTTTCTCCCCCAATTTCAACAGGGTCTCCCTTTTGTGGGAGTGTTCATTTTCCACCTTCTCATCTTACTTTCAGTTTTCAGATGTGAAAACGTTTTTTGCACAGTCCTTTTTTGGTGAATGTTTACCTGTAATTGTGTTCTGTCTTGTTTATGTGTGTTCGTGTGGACGCATGCGCACACCCGCACATGTCACTTCCTGTACATTTTGACCTATGTAAACCTGTACTGTATATTTCTCGTCTAAACAAAACAAACAAACGAAAAAAATCATGGTCACCTTCAAAAAAAACATGCTGTTGTTGCCTTGTCACGCTATTTGTGACACCGTGATGTAATTTATTTTGCTTTTATTTCTCTTTTTTTTACTTTGCCAAATTCACCAAATATCTAATTTCCCTTTCTCTGACATCTGTTTTATTGAGTTCACTTTGCAATGCCTTATTTAGCGTTTTATATATGGGTGTTTGTTACATCTTTATGTTGGACAATATATATAGATATATATATATATATATATCAAAGTACTTGTGTACAGTGTCTGCGTTTTGGGAAGCAGTCTCGGATTTACAACTTCAAATGCTTTAGTTGTATAAATACTGGCCTCCTTGAAGTTCTCTTTAAATAACAGAAATCAGTTCTTTTCCTTCTGTTAAGTCACTCAGAACAGTATTTTAAAGCACAAAGTCTGTTAGTTGACTTGCAAAATGTCTCATTGTTCATCTAAAAACTTACTTCCCATTTTTATTGAGTAACTCCTGGTAAACAAAAAAAACCCGCAGACTTTATTTAGACGTCTGGATGATTACATTAAGCTTGTTTTTTCATTATTATAATGGTTATATCTATATTAAAGGCCTTCAACACTTCTGGAGAAGCACAGCCAGTATACATATAGCCGGAGAGTTCAGACTGTTAGACTGAGAATGCTGCAATGCTGGTTGTAAGTGTATTGATTTGTTTGTTTTAATGTACTGTTTGTTGGAAATGTACAGTTAGAAAACGCAACAACGTTGATGGAAACTCACAAACACTTCAGTTTAATCGAATCGGAATAATGCTTTTGGAAAAGATCAATTCTCCCTGGTGCAGTATTTGAAGATCCACCAATATATATTCAGTTCTGTCATAACAACACTCCATTTTTTTCATCCCCCTCTTCAGCTGTTTGGTAAAAATCTGATCAATTTCCATTTTCAGCCTTGTATTTATTGTGTTTTACTGTCTAAACGTCGTCTCCGTGTATTGCAACATGTACATAAACTTGTCCTCTCTAGATTTTTTGGATGTTTTCCTGTACGGGATGTCTACACTGATCCATTTACTTTCCATAAAAGCTGAACTGTTCTGAAAACGGTAATGTTGACTGTATCCGTGTGTATAAAAATTACTTCTGGATACTTTCTCATCAGCCCCTACCTCCATTCATCATGGATTAATCAAAGGGAGATCATTGTAGTAGATTTGCATAGTGCATTTCCAATAGGAAAACTTATTTTTGTGTGTGTGGTGTCATACGCCAGTGTCATTTTTGATCAGACTGTTCAATATTTCCAATGTTTGCAAATATGCACATAGTAGGAGACTGGGTTTTGCTTTGCCACTGTCAGTGTTTGCATGCTAAAGAGACCCGTACTTGACATCCGAAGCAGTTTCCAGGACAGAATAAAATCCAGATTCCAATGCTTAGCGTTAAAGCATTGTGTTCCCACATAAAACTGTGCTTTAGCCTTCATTTAGCCTATGTTGGATGTTCTGTTGCTCAATAATGTTGAATGAGTTTGATACAACTAATAATGGTCAGTGTTCGTGACGAGGAAGTACTGTAACAGTTACATTGAAGCAAGAAGTGCACTATATAGGGATGATAACACAAGACAAAAAAGTGAACTTAAACTCTTGGTATGAATTTGGCAGCGATGCTGAGAGTTGTGGCTGTTTTTCATTATTTTTAATTTGGGATTTTTTTTTTTATTTTGTTTTGTTTGAAATGGCTCCTGTACACCGATGTGGACCAATCATATAATTCAAACCATGGTATGTGATCTTTTATTGTGCAATAAAAGATGACTTTCAACTTTCAAGTCAACATGTCTGATGCTGATCAGTTAGTTGATTTACAGTACGTGAGACTTTTTATTTTAAATATGAAAGCTAGTTTATCATCTAGCTTTTCTATTTATTATAGTTATTCTATTTAGCCTTTTCTACCTGCTACATTACCTGACAAAAATCTTGTTGATCCCAGTTGTATGAGCAACAAAAAATAACTTGACTTCTAGTTGATCATTTGGAAAAGTGGCAGAAGGTAGATTTTTCCATCTGTTGATCTGCATCCCAATCATCACTAATACTGCAGAAGACCTACTGGAACCTGTATGGACCAAGATTCTCACTGAAATCAGTCAAGTTTGGTGAATGAAAAGTCATGGTTTGGGGTTACATTCAGTATGGGGGTGTGCGAGAGATCTGCAGAGTGGATGGCAACATCAACAGCCTGAGGTATCAAAACATTTATGCTGCCCATTACATTACAAACCACAGAAGAGGGCAAACTCTTCAGCAGAATAGCACTCCTCCTTATACTTCAGCCTCCACATCAAAGTTCCTGAAAGCAAAGAAGGTCAAGGTGCTCAAGGATTGGCCAGCCCAGTCACCAGATATTAACATTATTGATCATGTCTGGGGTAAGATGGAGGAGGCATTGAAGATTAATCCAAAGAATCTTGATGAACTCTGGGAGTCCTGCAAGAACGCTTTCTTTGCCACTCCAGATGACTTTATTAATGCGGTATTTGAATCATTGCAGAGATGTATGGATGCAGTCCTCCAAGCTCATGGGAGTCATACACAATATTCATTCTGTTTCCACTGCAGCATGTTTTATATTCTATACTGTACATTATTTTATGTTAAGTCACAAGACTTTTGTCTGAGCAAAGTCAGACCTTACTGTCCTAATGAAAAATCAAGGCATGATTATATTTTATATTGGTGAAATAAGTGTAATCTAGAGGCCTTTGCCTTTCATTCAAGCCACTTCTGATACCAAATGATCAACTAGAAGTCAAATTATTATTTGTTGTTCCTAAAACTTGGATATGCAACGACTTTTGTCAGTGTATCAGACACAATAAGTGGAAAAGCTAGAAACTCTGGTCAAATCTGTTAAATTTAATTATGTTTTAAGCTCGGTACAGTTCATTTAAAATGTGTTTTATGAGATGAATCAGGCTGTAATGAGATTTACTGGCTCTCTATGTAAAACAATATTCTAATGTACAGTATTAATAAATGTAATTCATGGTTAGATTAATTATGTGGTACAAATAGAGCCTTTCACACGCATAACGAAGTCAGTAGAGTAGAAATTATAAGAATGTTGCTTTATATTTACTCTAAATTACATTTATATTGACAAATATATCAAATAGGCCTACCATATCATACGTTTAGTGTGGTTCAAAGAATAGAATAGAAATTATGTTTTACACATTAATATATTGTCATTTTACGTTTATGTTAGAATAAAATAACAAATGGTGCCATACTTTATGTAATTTCTATATGACACAATATGGGGGACCCAAAGCAGAAATATTCTATCTATGGAATAATAACTGCACTTAAAACATACTATTATATAATTAAAAATGTGTATATGTTAACTAATCAAAAATGTACTAAATAGAACATTAGCACATATTCGGGGATAAATAATGCATGACGCGTAATAATATAAGACCAAACAAGTGAACAAACGATAAAATAATCTTGCAAAGACATTCCTAATTATCTTTGCTCTCGGTGTTTCATAATATTACACGCATACCTGCCTAAATGAACGCAAAACGGATCATGTTGGTCAGACGAACCATATGTAACGCGTTTGGTAAACTCTTGTATGGAAGTTTAAATCCTCCATGCTGCCTCTGTCGTCTTTGTTGTTGTAATGACGCCATCTCACCCTATTCTCCCATTGGCCGAGAGGGGCCAGTTTTCGCGCCATTCGAGTATCTCGGCATTGTGGGATAGCATCAGGAGGTCAGCGGCGCCCCGGGTAAACTCCGTGTTTAACCCGAACACATTTTTTTGGGACATTTAACGGATTTTAACAGATTCCAGCTATGCGTGGGGATGAAACGGATACAGAGTCCGTCAGATCAGCCGATGGCTCGATCCGGAGTAATTTCGAGGCGCTTTGTCAGGAGCTCAATATGGACGAAGAGACGGCAGCTGAAGCGCTTCAGAACTTCAGATCCATCTGGAACACTTACACGCTGGAGGTTTGACTTTAGATCACATTTACACGACAAACTAATGACAGGAGCAGATTATCTTTTTTGTTGTAATTCTGAAATGATCAAAATAATCAGTAATGTTGTCTAAATAAGAGGTTCCATTTAATGTTATTGCGAAATTTTCTGAAGTAACTGCTAACGTTATATGAATGTTCAGTGTCGGTATACAGTTATAACATTTATATAATGTTTGTAAACTGTGTATTCAAGAATGCAATGGTGTACTTACCACAATAAGTTACATATTTTAAAAAATCCGACTTAGTTGGTGTGCCAACTTATAAACCCAAATACAGTGTAAAAATGCTGGGTTCAACACAAATCCGTCATGTTGTCCCAACTCAAATCGATTTAGAGCGTGATTGTTTTTACAAATATAAGTGGATTCTACGTAAAACACTTATGTTGTCTCAAAACATCTTAAGAATTGTGTTGTTTGGGCTGATTTTAAGTAAGTAGTTTGAACAAGCTGCAAAAGTAAGTTTTTGAGTGTATTCATTATAATAATAGCCGGGTCATATGTTACATTAGGAAACAATACATATGTTGTTGCGCTTCTAATATGATTGAGACTTCCCCTTGTGTTTGTGTCATGTGACATAGTTGGGAACTCTACTTTAAAGGGAAAGAATGCAGTTGTTCTGTCAATTTCGTATCGAGGTCAGAGAGACCTGGATAAATTCAGAGAGAAGGTATATGTTAACATTATATTGAAACATCTGTTTATATTTTCCAAAACAGCTAACCACAGAGTTATGGGATCAAAAAATATCAATCTGTCAACATTTTTTCTATTTGAAATGAGGAAAATAAACATGCGTGATGGATATGACAAAAAAAGTCTTCGAGTTTACAGTATACAACATACTTTGTAGAAATTCTGTGAATTAAACAGAATGATTTAAATATATGATAAGGAAAAAGCTTTGTTATTGATGTGATGTCTCTTTGTTATGGATGTGACGGATGTAAAAATTGCAACTTGTGTGACTTTGGTAAATCAAATATAATTGAGACATTTTTGAGTATTTTTAAGCACCGTAAAATAGAAACCTATACAAAAAAACGAAGAAATGATTTTGCTATTATGGCGAACACACATTTTTTTTCATGTTAAGGTTGACATTTGCATGTAATTGCTCATATAAATAACTATGATAACGTTATATGAATGTCACAGTAATAACTATATAATATAACGTTACCATATTAACTAAACATTTTTTTAAATGATGTTTTCAAGAATACAATGGTAAACCTACCAAGGTACTTATTTTAAAATATCTGATTCTATTGGTGTGCCTTTTTACAAGCACAGAACAGTGCAAAAATGTTGAGTTTAACACAATCTGAACAATCTCGAACACATTCCTTCATGTTGTCCCAACTCAAATCGATTAAGTTAACTTAATTCTTTTTACAAATTTAGATGGGTTCAATGTAACACGTTTAGGTTGCCCCAAAACACACACACACACACACACACACACACACACACACACACACACACACACACATATATATATATATATATATATATATATATATATATATATATATATATATATATATGAGCAATTCCATGAAAATAACCTTGCCATGAAAAGAGTTATGTATTCGCTCAAACAGCAAAACCGTTTCTGCATTTATTGTGTAGGCTTGTATTTTACATTGCTTTAAAATTCTCAAATGCCTCTGTCAATGTTTTCAAAAAGTTATATTGGATTTACAAAAGACACACAAGTGGCAATTTCACATCTGTCACATCCATAACAGAGAGGTGTCACATCCAATCAAGTCAATTCTTTTTGTTCTACAGACAGCCGACTCTTATCTTTTTGATTTGGATTGGTTTTTTTTGGGTTGTGTAGTTTAATCCACAGAATTTCTACAAAGCATGATGTTTACTGTAAACTCACAGACTTTTTTCATCACATCCATAACGCATATTTATTTCCCTAATTCAAAATAGAAAAAAATGTTTACATATTGATCTTTTTCTGATCCCATAACTCTGTGGTCAGTTGTTCTGATAAGTATTACCAGATGATTCAATATAATGTTAACATATACTTCCTCTCTGAATTTATGTTTTAAGATTTTACTACAAATGTCACATCCATAATGCTGGAATTGCTACTATTGCTACTCCGTTATATGTATTAAAGTAATAAAGTAAATAATGCATTCTTTTTGTTGCAAATATTGTTTGATATAGTGAGGCAAAGAAGTTCAAAACTTGAATACATTCATTTTATTCATAGGTGTAATTTGTTTAAAATCAGCTGCTATATGGACTTGTTTATTGATACTGTGCACTTAGTGTTATTGATATAGTTACATTTACATTGTTTTTAATAACAGCATACTTGCATAAAATACATATAAATATCAGTAAATATAAATATCATTTTCCGAAAAAATAAATCACGTTAAAGTAATTTAATTACTAACGCAACTTTATTCCAGTAAATGTTCATCTTGAAATATTAATAATAACAGTATAATGTTTGTTTTCATTTTACTTAAAAAAAAAAAAAAACTGCACAACACATAAACCTTAAGGTGAACAGTTGTAATCAGATGTATAACATGATCAATCACGTGATTTTTGCAACACATTTTGTTTCTTCAGTTTTTTGATCATGTTGGATATTTAGAGGCCACAGATGTATTCTGCTGCTTGTCTTGATCTGTAGGCTGTGTTTGGTTTTCTCAGGGTGATGTCATGCACTGGCTGGCCTGCTCTCTGTACGCTGCCTGTAGGAAGAGCTCCATCCCTACAGTGGGACGGGGTGTGATGGAGGGCAACTGTGTTTCCCTTACAAGGATCTTGCGCTCTGCAAAACTCAGGTAAGGGTCTCAAAGTCTGTTTACAGTTTAAACCTGGTGTTAATGCATTTTCTTTGTCTACTTGTGAGCCGATCAACAATGGTTAATGTCAGGTGTAAACGGGACCAAATAAATATTATGCCTGTAGGATGAACATCATTTACTGTCATTTAATTTTATTGCGCACTTTTAAATTTAAGATTTACTTCATTTCTGAAAAATCAATGAGCATTTATATTAATCTGAATGTTTTGTTGTCTTTCCTCTAGTTTGATCCAGTTCTTCAGCAAGATGAAGAAATGGTCAGACATGGCGAATCTCTGTCAGGACTTTCGCAGCCGCATAGGTCGACTAGAGCGCAATTTTGAAGTGTCGACAGTGATTTTTCGCAAATTTGAGCCGATATTTCTGGACATGTTTCAGAATCCTCAGAGTGAACCTCCTCGCATGCCTAGAAGTCGCAAACACCGGTAAATCCGCCTGCATTTTCTTTTCTTTTTATGCTTTTGACCGAAAAAGGAAATTTAAAGAAACAAATATGCTTCTTTTTTTTTTTTTGTAGACGTCTTCCATGCCACATCAGTGATGTCTTCAAGTTCTGTTGGACCCTCTTTGTTTATACAAAAGGTAATTAAAAAATCACTCTCTACAAAAGCTATTAATGAGCACTTCTCTTTAACCAGTTAAACGTCATCGACTTTTGCTTTAAGATTTAAAGGGCTAGCCTTGCACCAGACCCCCGTAAGTGATTTCGTTTGAAAGTGTAGAATCTAAATTTTATGCACATATGCATTACTTTGGTTTTTATTCTACTGTACAAAAGTTATTTACACTTAAATACACAGTATTTTGGATACCCGAGCTGGGTATTTTACATTGGTTCATTTTCATATTTTTTATATGACACATGTACAAGCTATAGCTCAAATAAAAGCTCTTGCCGGTGCTCATATGGTTCTAGCATTCTTTTTACTGAATTATATTCACATATCAAACAGTTGTTGAATGAATCGTGTTGTTTCCATGGCGCAGAAGTGAAAACAATACATTTATGATCACTAAGCAGCCCCAGATAGCACAGATAGCTGTCATCTCTTACCTTATCCTGTGCTCTTCAGGGTCATTCTCCTCTGTTTTTGAGGTGATGTACATGCATCTGATGTGGTCCAAACACAGCGAATTATGTTTGATCAAACAAAAGAATAGTGAAATATGAAAATAATGATCAATCCCTGTGGCTTGTACAGCACCTCTCATCAGTTGGAATAAAATAACTTTTGCATAGATTATGGTGGAGACGTTTTTCTTTTTCCCTATGATTACAGACATGTGCAGGAACCACCAAAATTAATTACAGCACGCTAGACCACACAGAACCTAAAAGGTACAATTTCAAATTTGAGTTTATTAAAAAAAATACAAAAAGCACCTTTTTTTTTTGTTTATTATAACACAGACAACATATACAGATATTTTAAAAACTTTCAATAGTGTTTTATGAAAATTCAAAGTTTTTATTTTTAAATGATACCAAATTTTTGCATTTACACCTCTGCATGTGGATTTGGAAAGCTTTTAAATTTGGGTAGGCAAAATCCAGGCGGAAATCCCAAAATAACAGCAGAGTTTAACTGGTTAAAAGTCCAATGATTAAAAGTCCATAATAAAACATCCATAATAAAAAAGTGCCCACTAAATAAAGGCCTTCTGTAACAAACCAATGCATTTATAAAGTAAAATATCTGTCCTACAAATCAACTCAATTTGAGGTTTATTGTTATTCTGTTACATGTTTGAACATACAGTGGGATGAAGTTGTGTATCGCAGGACCACGGTGAATAAGCATAATCATAAATATAGACATAACACTGGAAGTAAGAGCAATATTAAGTCTCTACGTAACTAACACACCGGAGCGGTACTCTAACTGTACATATATTATGAATACTTAGACTATACACACAACCTAAGACTGACTATACAAGTACTTTTGCGTAAGACGGAATACTGTTGTGCAAGATACTGTTCATACGGGGTATTTTAATGTTGAGAAAATCAAGTAGTGAAACTTGATTGTGTGGTACATTCACAAGTAAACATTGTTTTCCTTATTAAGACCTTCTAAGATTAAGTAAAGTGTAATATGCATATAGAGAGAAGAGTGTTTCCACAAGTGGTTTGTCAAGCACACTTTAGAAATGCACAATGTTTTTCAAGAGGTATGGAGGGATTGTAAGAAAGTGAATGAAAGTGAGTCATGTCTTTGCAGCAGATGGCATATAACATACACGTAACACTATGAATCCAGCAAAAAAAATTCTGTCAGGTAAAATTAAATTCAGCTAAATACTCTTAAATGTCTTCTGTCTTAAAAAAAACATAAAAATATGGAAAAGAAATAGTGATTTGAAACTGATCTTGTAGTAATTAGATTTTTGCTATAACTGTATTTGAATCAAGACTTTTATGGGTGAATTTTCATTTAACAAATGCAGTCATACACCCTAACAATTTTTACAATTTAGTCTTATTTATTCTATACTTTTATTGCTAGTATATGAATACTATTTGTAGATATATGTCTAATTTTGACTGCTTTTGCTAAAAATCTCTGACTTATAGTTCCAGCTGATCTCATGACATGAATTCTGCTTTATTTCAGGTAATTTCCACATGATCGGAGATGATTTGGTCAACTCCTATCACCTCCTCCTCTGCTGTCTGGACCTGGTGTTTTGCAACGCTCTCATGTGCTCCAACAGGAAAGATCTCATCAATCAGAATTTCAGAGGTAAAGGTCACCTTTTATTCATCTCAGAAAATATGTTTGCTTGACTGATTGAGAAGACAGACAAAATTACAAGTGAATCCATTGATTGCATTAAATATATTTGAGTGTTTTAAAGCATGCCTGTGTTGTTTTGATTTACACTCTTCAGCGATTCTGAATTTAGTGTCTTTCCCTCACCGTAATATTGCATTGTGTTTGCTTTGTGTCTGAAAAAACAGGTAAACACTTCACTGAACATCTGTTTTTCACCTTTCTGTAGGCCTGCCGAAAGACACAGAAAACCTGAAAGAGATGCCCTGTGTCATTGACAAGTTGTGTGAACTGCATGATGGGTTGGTGGTGGAGGCCAAAGGCATAAAGGAGCACTACTTCAAGCCCTACATAAAGACCCTGTTTGAGAAAAGAGTGAGGAATATATACGCACTTTGACACCCAAAACAAAAACAGCACAATTCCATATATGACTGCATGCTTTGTAGAAAAAAAATTTAATTACAGTTTTTCTTTTCAAAATGACGATTTGCGATTACTTCTGTTTCATAAAAGAACTACAGTTTAATGTGGTGGTTTTAGCAGAGCCACAGAAATACTAAACATAATTAAAAAAAAAACTACAGTATCCTAAATTAAATAAATTAAATATAAAATTTTAAACTTTAAAGAATTTAAACAATGTAAACAATTGTACATCATTAAAACACTGGTGATAACTAGGGCCAGACAGAATTTGTTGATGTTTTTTGGCTATTTCTGCTGAGAACTTTGTAAAAAAATTTGTGGATTTATGCAGAATTATTTTGAGAGTATCATAACTAAAAACATTAAAAAAAACATAAAAAAAATAATATATATATTTTTTTTTTCATTTTCAAAGTCCTTTTATTCCTTTTATACAGAGGAATGAACTGCCAACTTATCCGGCATATGTTTTACGCAGCGGATGCCCTTCCAACTGCAACCCATTACTGGGAAACATCCATACACACATACTCTGCGGACAATTTTTATCCCAATTTACCTATAGCGCATGTCTTTGGACTGTGGTGGAAACCGGAGCACCCGGAGGAAACCTACGCGATCAATGGGAGAACATGCAAACTCCACACAGAAACGCCAGCTGACCTAGCTGAGACTCAGCAACCTTCTTTCTGTGAGGTGATCATGCTACCCATAGCGCCATCGTGCAGCCCATATATATATATATATATATATATATATATATATATATATATTTTTTTTTTTTTAATATAATTAATTGAATTATAAATGCGCGGTAAGAGTCGTGCACGTAATATATTCAGATATCATAGCTGATCTGTGATAAATGCCGTTGTGGAAAGTCACTCTACAGACACACTCGTGTCAGGGTTAACAAGTATCCCTTTAATAGCGATAGAGGAAAGGAAATTTATGTACTGTCATCATTGCAAAGATAAAATAAATCAGTTATTGGAAATGAGTTAAAACTTTTTTGTTTTAAAATGTTTTGAAAAAAAATCTCTCCAAAATTTGGTGAAAAATAAATGGGGACTAAAATTTCAGGGGGGCTAATAATTCTAATTTCAGCTCTCTCTCTCTCTATATATATATATATATATATATATATATATATATATATATATATATGTATATGTATATACCTTTTAACTTTTATTTAATGTTTACAATGCAAATCCAATATGATCCACTTATTTGTTAAACAGAAAGTCGCTCATATAGTATACTAAATACACAAAATATAACTTTACAAACTGTTTTGTAACTAAATTATATGAACATTTTCATGTTAGTCAATAATATTAATGAAATGAATGTTTATTTAGTTTTTAAACTTAATTTACTTACATTTACACTATGAATTGACTGAATGATGGGCTAAAAAATCTGCGGAAATCTGCAGATTTCTGCATGTGCAGATTTCGTGTGGACCTAGCGATAACCTACATTACTGTGGACAACCTATATAACAACGACAGCAAATGTTTTTGCCTTTTAAACTGCAAAGAACATGAATTCTAAACCAAAGGGTCAACAAGAAAAGCTGCACTTCTAGATTATGTTACTTTTTTACATTGTTCAGGGTAATGTGCTTACCAACTGTCAGAACTGTCAAAAATTTTATGTTTCTTATTTATTAGTGCATTGAAATAAACACTGCTTTTGGGATTTGAAATTTTTATTTTTTTATATAGTGATTTCGTTTTAGAAATGTCTAATTGTGCAGGCCTAATTCTATATTTATAGCTTTTGTTTTACCTCCTTATATTCCCAGATGTTAAAAGGTGATGTTGAAACTCTGACTGAATTACTGGACACTCCAAATTTCCAAGATAACAAGTACGCACATTCAATTTCTGAACACATTGCTTTTCCATGCAAAACGTTGTATGCAATTAAATGCTTTTGAAAACATTTTTGTCTTTTCAGTAAAGCCATAAATCGTGATTATGAGGAGTTTGTTTTGACTGTGGGGGATTTTGATGAGCGAGTGTTTTTGGGGGCTGATGCAGACGAGGAGATCGGCACACCGCGCAAATCCACCGCTGAACCTCCTTCAGGTCATCTCTCTGCCCGCATGCAGGTGGAGAACAACCTTCAGCAGCACTTTGAGAAGGTATGAAGAAAAGTAGTTAGATTAACAGTCACTGTAATTACAGTATTTATTAGGGGTGTGATGAGATGCTTACTCCAGGAGACAAGATTGGTTTCAAGAGAACAAAACAAGATTTTGGCAGTATTTTAAAGAAATCTTGAATGATAAAATATATGAATGGAAAATAGTCTTTTATTCAACTGAAAAAAAATCACAAAATGCAAAACCATATAGGTGCTTTTTTAAATCAACTTGTAATGAATGTTATTTTAATGACTTCTGTGCAGTAAAGGACATGCCAACACTGCAAAATATGTTGCTAATATTTGAATGGAGAGTAGTCTTTTTATACATGACTATTTAGGTGCTTTTTAAAGGTGCTGTATGTAAGTTTTTGACTTTTCTAAAGCATAAAAATACCATAATATGTTTGCAGGTATTTAAGAAACATGCTAAGTGAACATAATTGTTTATCTGAAAAACAATGAATTCAGATATTCTACTTTAAAATTGTGAGTTACGTGCAGGATTGTCTGTCTTTGTTTTGTTCATTTATCCCGCCCAATGCCAGTTTAGCCAAATATATTTCAGCACCCTGGGTTGCTTTAGCGCAAAACCATGTTTTTCATTCATTTATTTATTCATTCAATCTGGAAGCCTCAATACCCATGACAAGCTCAGAACTACTGGATACAATTATAAATTAAGTACTGATAGGAGAGAGTTGTTTTAAAGTGACTTGATACCGCATGAATGAAAAGATAACTTCTTTTCCCGGACAGTATAAAGCTGTGTTCGCTGATGATGCGACAAGCCTCTAGGAGTTCCCCGTTTGTGTGTGCGCACAGAGATGTGTGTGTCTGGTCCTTTAGTGACTCAGTAGATGGAGGGAATTAATGTTAAAGTTCATTTAAAGTTAGAGAATTTAAAGTTAGAGTTAAACAGCTGTGTATGCATGGCTTATTCTGTTGCAAAATGCAGCTAAAAGTCCTACACGATGGTAATAGTTTAATCAAGGTGTTGACATGTCTGTACTGCACAGCAGTAATGTGACTGAAATAGGAATACTTTACGGCTTAACATGTCAGCTGTAGCCTCTGCTCAGACCGCAACCTTCGATGGAAAAAAAAAAAAAAGGTTACGTCACACCCGCCCAAGCAAATGAGTGACACGCAACATCGAGGCAGCCCTGGTTGCCAGGTGTGTGCAAAGCACTTGAATTGCGGTTCATATCCAAACCTGCCTCCAATCTTCAATGCTAATTTCACCCTCACGCTCCATCATAACATAACTCACGAGACAACTTAACACCTCTACGAGAAATCTTAACGGGATTTAATCTTGTGATACCACGTGATATGGGACCTCATTACACCCCTACTATATATATATATATATATATATATATATATATTTGCATCTTCTTCCTGTTTGTGTGCAGACGCGTTCCCTTGCTCCCTCTACTCCTCTAACGGGTCGACGGTATTTAAAGGAGAAGGAAGTGCTGGTCACGCCTGTTTCTTCAGCCACCCAAAGTGTGAGTCGACTGCAAAGCATGGTGTCTGGTCTCCGAAACGCACCGAGCGACGCTCTGCTTCAGATATTTATGTAAGTGTTTGCTAAAACCAAAACATGCACTTATAGTTTTAGATTTGGTTTTCTTGCATTCCTTTTTTTAAACTTGTTTTTGTGTCAGATGTGGACACAAATGTGTATTATGACACAGGAGACTGTGAATTATGAGGACATTGCTGATGTTTACATTTTTCAAAAGGTTTAGAAATCATACAGAATGAGCTTTTTCAGAAAGTAAAACTGCACATTTTTTTTGTAAAGCGTGGGGTTGGGGAAGTGCCATCTCAAATACAGTTTGTACAGTATAAAAACAATAGAAACCTATGGAATATCCCCACAATTCACAATAATAAACCTTTACGTCTATTTAACCATTCTTCATTTTCTGTTCAAATAGTTCCTGTTCTCGAAACCCCACTGAATCCATTCTGAATCGGGTGAAAACCTTGGGGGAAAAGTTCAAACAGGCCTACACTAATCCCACAGATGACCTGCCGGGAGCACATATGGGTCAGATTTACTGCCGTCTAAAATGATTGGTCATTATGAAAGCATTATGTGTGATCATGTAAATAAGTGCAGGCTCTTGTGTGTAGACTTTGCAGAGAAACGTCTGAAGCTGGCCGAGATCTTGTACTTTAAGATCCTGGAGAATGTAATGACTCAAGAGATGAAGAGATTACAAGGCAAAGACTGGGCAGTAAGTCACATTATTAATATTATATTTGATATATGCTTGATGCATGTGATAAATGTGTTTGTAAATGTAGCTTTTCCACTTCTGCTTTTTTTTTTTTTTTCTTTATTCAAAGAGGAATCGGTTATATGGAACAACATGCCTTGCAGTAATGTCTTATTTTAAAGCTCTCGCTGTCTGCTTTGGTGCAAGATTGTAAGCTCTTCCTCTCTTACGTCTTTTTCTCAATCAGGTCCTGTTGGAGCAGGAGGTGCTCCATTGCTCTCTTTTGGCCTGCTGTCTGGAGGTGGTGCTGTTCTCATACAGCTCGCAAAGAACTTTCCCCTGGATACTGGAAATCTTTCAGATCCCACCTTTCTACTTTTACAAGGTACAGAACATTGTCAGTATGGAGGATTAAACCTGCAAAAACAATACATAAATCCACAAATTCCTGTATGCGTAAATATATAAAGAATTAATAGTGCGGGCAGATAAATAATTAAATTGCACTTTTGTTAGGGGAATAAGAAAATGCTAAACTGAGTTGATCCTCCCTCCTGCAAATGTGTATTCCTTTTAGAACGTAGTTCCACGTTTACTTTTCCTGAGCTCAACATGCTAATGAGAGAGTGTATTATCAATCTTCAGAAGGTGGGCTTTATGCCATTATGATTGATTGTTAAAAAAATCTTGTTCACTTTTTTTTTTGTCGCTGATGATGATATATAGACACCGTCTCATTAGCTTGTTGAGCTGGAAAAGTAAGGAACTATGTCCAAAAATGAATACACATTTGAAAGGGGAGAAAACTTTGTTTATTTTTTTTTTCTTAAATGTATCTGCCCACACTATTAATTATTTCTATACTTATCAGAATCAGAATTGGTTTTATTGAAACGTGTGCTTACACACACAAGGAAATTGTTTTGGCTACAGAGGCTTCATGTGTATGCAATGTGACAAGTTTTTTATTTATGCAGGAATTATATATATATATATATATATATATATATATATATATATATATATATATATATATATATATATATATATATATATATATATATATATATATAAATATATATAATAGATGTCAATATTTAATGACCGAAGGTCTTTGTCAGTATCGATAAAAAAAAAAATTTGGTAGGTAGTTTCGTATGAAGCGATATAGTTTTATTAAATGCAGCTGCTGAGCGAGCGCCATGCTGTATGTATTTAAATAATGATGGCTGGTTCCTTTACTTAAAAGCTCAAATTTGATTATCATTATTTGTGTTGTTGACAGAGTTTGAGGTTTACTGTATTATTATTATTCACAGCTTAAAGTTTGCTTTGATCGTTCAGCGTTTACACTTTACCATTGCACACACTTTGTAACATTTTATTTATTAAGATTAAGAGTCTCCTTAACACGTTTATTTTATTATAAAGAGATCAGATATTTTGTTTAAATAATTTAGTTTTTGTCTATCAAAACTATTTGCCTCAGTAATGTTGGTAAAATAAAATAAAGTGATTTAAATAAATAAAAAAATCCTAATATTCCTAAATGGACTGTAAAACATATATTTAGTAATTATCAAAATCGAATGATATGAAATGTGATATCGTGATTTAATTTTTTTTGTTGAAATATTGTCCAACTATATATATATATATATATATATATATATATATATATATATATAATTATAATTATATTATTTTATTTATTTGATTATTTATCTTCATATTTATTTGTGTATTTTTTATTTATTTATTTGATTATCTATTTACTTATTTGCGTATTTATTTGATTATTTGCATATTTATTTATTTGTGACATTTGTGGATTTATTTATTTGCACAATTATTTTTATTTGTCACCTGCATATTTTAGTACATTGTAGTTTTTTTTTTTTTTTTTTTTTTTAATAGCTTTGGTTGTTGTTAGTGCACTATTGCATCTCGTTGCAGTAGATATAGATATGTCTCTAGAATAAAGATCACAATCTGTTTAGTGCTTAAAAGAAATGCTGAAATGCTTAAATAAACATGTAAATAATAAATGTAATAAATGTAATAAATAAATGTAAATAAACATGTGTTTGTGTAGGTGATTGAGGTGTTCATCCGCTCAGAGGAGGGTTTATCCAGAGACATGGTGAAGCATTTGAACAGTATAGAGGAACAGGTGCTGGAAAGCAGAGCGTGGACAAGAGATTCAGCCCTGTGGAATGCTCTTAACAAGGATAACAATAAAGTTCCTACTGTAGAAGAGGTATCTATAGACAGTACATGTGCACACACTTTGTATGCTTAATAGATTACTCTATTAGATAGATCATGGCTCTCAAACTCAATTCCTGTAGTGCCACAGCTCTGCATGGTTGCTCCAGCCCTAATTAGACACACCTGGTTCAGCTAATCAAGGTGTTCAAGACTACTCTGAACACCTTGATTAGTTTATCCGTTGTGTTAGAAGTGGGTTGGGGCAAAACACTGCAGCTCTGCGGCGCTCCAGGAATTTAGTTTGAGACCTGTGATTTAGATCAATGGATTATTTCAGTGTCTCACATTTATCTGTGTTTCTGATTTTAAGGTGAATTTTCCTAGCAATTTTGATACAGGCAACAATGCAGGTGGTCCCACTCACCTCCCATTGGTGGCGCTGTCCCCCATCATTCACCCTCGCCTCAGGGAGGTCCGCACTGGCCTGGGCTCCAGCGCACGCAAAGGTATCATACTCTGCTTACTTACACACTCCAGCTAAATTTGGTTGTCAGTTCACTTTTTACGACTCAATCCTTTTCTGTACAAGCATAGTTTAGTAATTTACACAATGACAACAACACTGAAAAACTGAATTAATAAATGTGTATCCTACTTTAGATGGATCTCTCTTTTGCATGCACTGTGCAAGAAGTATGCTACTACAATTGTAAACAAGTATTTAGCTGAAGTATTTATTCATAAACTACTGGCTTAGCACTATTATTAAGATAATGACTGTTTATTAGTGCTTAGTAACTAATGGTTTGCTACTGGTGTGAATTGTAAATTAAAATAAAGTATGAATTTTAATATTGCAGCTTAAACTATAACTTTATATAATTTAGCTCAAATATTGATCAAGACAAGTAAACAGTCGTAAATAACAAAAGAACAAATGAACAAATTATAAGTAATGGCAAAAATTTGAGTACCCCTCTCTGGCTGCATAATTATGTGCTCTTTCTTTGTAAGAGAAGAACAAGGTGAAATGCTATTTGGTTTCTAGTGAAAGCTGTATAATGTCATGTTTTTCCAAAAAGTAATACATTGTGTAGCAGTATGATGTGTGAAATTAGATTGAAACTGAAAAATAGGCTATGCAAAAAAGATTTTTAAAAGATATTTAAAAATTGTGTAGATTTCAGAACCTGTAGTCACTTAATTCTGATTGATTACTTCAAAAATGTGATTTGAGAGAGCCTTAACAATCATGACATTCATGAAAAAGGATATTTAAGATAGCTGATTGCTGCTTGTGCTTCTCCTTATTGTGAACCTGAAAGTAGCAACGTGGGAACCTCAAAAGAACTCCCTATTTACCTAAAAGCTTGAATAATTCACCAACATAATTTAGGAGAAGGATACAAGAAGCTATCACAGGTTTAAAGAGTCATGACACCCCCCACTTTCGGATCAGGTCTGCCTCAGGATTTTTTCAAAAGATGCATCATAATGGGCGTGGACTTTCACGAGCAAAGGGTAGGAGTGGGCGTGGCCAGCAGGGGAGAAGGAGGGGAGTGAACAACTGTTGTCAGTCGGCTCACAAAATGAGACACAAACCGTGAGAAGACTCATGAGTTTATAGTTTACAAAGTTAAAATGTAAAGAAATAAACAGTTTTTAATACTCTGCTACATATGTTATATGTAATTTCATATACAGATAACTAAATTTATATTCTTGTAAAGATAATCGTGTTCATATAAACACTAGAAATGAAGACTTTTCCCTCATTCCCTGGGTCTGAATCATAGGTCTGAATGCAGACTCTTACCCTATTTTAACCATTAGCCCTGTTAGTAATCTAGAGGATTTAGGCAAACACAGCAGCACAGCGATGTGTCTAAATGTGAACAAACAAAGTCCGGCATTCTCCAGTCCTCGTACTGCTCTCCCGACAAATATGCTTGCTGGACATAAACAGCTTTGCTGTATCAGCCCTGACAACATCGCAGGGAAAAACATGCAACAAAACCCATGGATCATGGACACAAACACATATGACCATTCATGAACAGCTAAATACTGTGTGCCGTGGGTCCGTGTCTCACAGCATGGCAGGTCTGCCTTGCCTTCGGAAAGTACATGCAGTCATGAATAATTAAGAAGCAGGCACTTCTCATAGGATAAGAAAACTCTGCTATGAATAATAATGAGAAACCGACACGTCATCTTTGCACTTGCAGTTTTGCGCTACATTGCCGATTTTGATCCGCCCCAAAAACATTTTAAACCCGGAAGCTGAAATAAGCTGACAAAAGCTCAAAATTATCCAGTTTTCCCCACAATTAAAGCTATCAGGTGCTAACATTGTCTTAACTGATGCTCAACACACACTGCAAAGTAAAATGTCAAAGTACTCAAGGGTTTCGTGAACCTTTAAAGTCTATCTCCACAGAAATATAGTAAGTAAATGGAAGGCCACAGGAACAGTTCTTGTGAAGGAAAGATGTGCTAGACCAAGACAAATATCTGAAAGGCAAAGAATGGTTAGAATGATCACAGACCACCTTCAAAGAGCTCCAGGAACATCATGCTGCTAATATCGTCATTGTACATCGTTCCACAATTCAGCGCATTCTTCACAAAGAACCTATATATTTTCTTTCTCAACTGTTTGGTTTCACAAAGCGAAACTGTTTCTGCATTATATGAGATGAATAACCTGAATAACATTTCTGCTTTCTTTCCCAGACGTCCCTCAATCCCCCATCTCTCTCCATGATCGCTACAGCTCTCCAGCTGCTGGCAGCGCAAAGAGACGCTTGTTTGGTGACGATGCTCCACCACAATCCCCAGTAAAAAGGATCTCTGTCACTCCCATCAAAATCATTCCCAGTGGCTTGGAAAACCAGACCACCACAACCACTGTCCTCTCCATGGCCACCGGAAATGGCCAGCAGCTCACCATTCCACTGCCAGGTATTCTTCCTTCTCTTTTAACTCACATTTTTTCCAAAGAAAAAGTTTTACAAAAATAAACATTGTGCTGGTGTTGCATGTCCTTTAGTGGTGAAGAATGAGGCAGGCGGCATCACAGTCATCCAGCTTCAGGCCAGCGATATGAATCCTCTCACTGCTCAAGTTTTATTGACCGCTTCCCCGAGCCGGCCTGCTCTAGCCGCTCCAGCTATCAGCTCTGACTCACAGCCACCACCTGCCAATAAACCTCGCCGCACGGGCTCACTCGCACTCTTCTTCAGGAAGGTGAGGAGGACAGTGTTGCTGACTTCAAAATTCTAGTTTTGTAATGTTTTGTTGCGTTTTATTTTTTGTTTGGGTTTGTTTTGTGGTTTGTTTTGTTGTTTAGAATGGTTTGTTGTGTTGTAGTTTGTTTTGGTTGTTGTTTTGGTTTTTGTTGGGGTTTTGTGTTGTAGTTTCTGTTTTTTGGTTTTGTTGTGTTTTGTTTGGTTTGTTCTGTTGTAGTTTCTGTTTTTTGGTTTTGTTTGGTTTGTTGTGTTGTAGTTTCTGTTTTTTGGTTTGTTTTGTTGTGTTTTGTTTGTTTTGTGTTTTTTTGTTTTTTGTTTTATGTTTTGGTTTTGTGTTATTTGGTTTAGTTTGTTGTGTTGTAGTTTCAGTTTTTTGGTTTGTTTTGTTGTGTTTTGTTTGTTTTGTGTTTTTTTGTTTTTTGTTTTATGTTTTGGTTTTGTGTTATTTGGTTTAGTTTGTTGTGTTGTAGTTTCAGTTTTTTGGTTTTGTTTGTTGTGTTGTAGTTTGTTTTGTTTTGTTGTTTGGTTTGTTGTGTTGTAGTTCTCGTTTTTTGGTTCGGTTTGGTTGGTTTTCTTGTGTTTCATTTGTTGTGGGTTTGGTTTGTTGTGTTGTTGTCTGTGGTTTTTTTTGTTTGTTTTGTTTTGTGTTTTGGTTTGTGTGTTGTGGTTCGGTTTATGTTGTGTTTTTTGTTTTGTGGTTTTGTTTTGTGTTGTGGTTTGTTTTGTTTTGGTTGGTTTTGTGTTTTTTTGTGGTTTTAATGTGAATTTGTTTTCTGATGATACTATGGATACACGGCTAATATTTTTGATCAGGTCCTGCCATATAAAGATTTGTTATGGGGAACATATCAACGATCGAAAATCTCTTGAGGGGGGATTCTGGATACATATAAATAAAAGCACCACAATTAAATTAAAACATTACTTCTCGACCACTTTCCCCAGTATGAAGGAATTTTATAGGATTGTGGTCTTAAGGAAAGTGTCAGTACTGCCCTATTTATTAGTTACATTTTTAATTTTTATTTATTTAATTTTTTTTTTTTTTGTTATTCTTAATGTTTTTTGTTTTGTTTTTTAAGTACACATGAAATCAAAACTAACCATATTGAGTTAGTTAGCTCACATTGCTAGTTTTGTGGTGAACAATTCATCTGTGCATGTTGTTAGGAAAATTTTTTTTGCTATATACAAATATATATTTGATATACAGAAATATATTAGCAATTCTTAATCATGCAAGTATAGAGAAAAACAGTTTTCAAAAAAAAAATCTTATTCCCCAGCAGAGCCTTAATTTAAATATGGGTCTTATTGTCTTATTTCAAGTGCATATGTTCTGTTGCTACTCCTTTCAGGTGTATCATTTAGCCAGTGTGCGTCTGCGAGACCTGTGTCTGAAGCTGGATATCTCCTCAGAGCTAAGAGGGAAGATCTGGACGTGTTTTGAGCACTCTCTCCTGCACTGCACTGACCTGATGAAGGACAGACACCTGGACCAGCTGCTGCTTTGTGCTGTTTACATCATATCAAGGGTACAGATTTTAAATGCAGTAAAACATTAATATTTTTAAACATTGGTCGAAAGTTTTATTGTAATGTCTTGCTGTTTAATTGTTTATTTATTAATTCAATGGTTTTGCTATGAAAATAACCATTGTTGTTGCTATGATAATAAGGGTTGTAACGGTATGAATTTTTCACGGTATGATAATCTTCTAAAACAATACCACGGTTTGACGGTTTCACGGTATACGGTATACGGTATGTTACAAATGTTACAAAATAATAGAACAGTGAAGCAAATTTGACTTTTTCCAAATAATATATTTTTAGTTACTATAAACAACACCACTTACAATGAACAAATAAAAATAAGAAAATAATAAATAATGTGTCAAAGTCCAAATAAAGTCCAAATAAACATGGTGCAAATCCTTAGTAAAAAATAGATATAAATATTTACTATACTATAAATAGTTACATAACGAAACTAGATTCAATATGGAACATCCTTAGGTTTTATGTGCCAGCGTGGATATGGATGTGGTTGTATGCAATGCAGACAAACAGCTGCATCTTCATTTGCGTCTTTTGAAAACAGCAAGAGCAACAGTTTGTCTTTGCTGTGTCACTGTTTTGTCATGTTTCTGTGCTGCTGTGCATGCAAAAGTACTTAGTATGAGAATTATTTCATGCAAAACTTTTTTTTTTTGCGTTTTATTTAGCCGCGCATAAATGTATGCCTTTCTCTCATTCCGTGTTGTTCAAAAAGCTTGGTCCACAAACAAAAGCGAAACCTATGCTTATTGGTTGTGATATAGCGAGTTTGAACCAATCTGGGCATGGAGGAGGGACAATGCATCAATGTATCATGTCTGATTTGTCCGGAGACACAGTGACGAGCGTTTCTTTGTCAAATCAGCGTTGTCAAATGTTGATGACGTAACCGCACTGATTCCGGAGCCTCTGAAAGTCCGTGAATGTTATCAGCGGATCAAAAGTTATTAAACATTTAAGAGCAATGCTTATTTTTAGCCGCGGGCGGCTGTCTCGGTCTTTAAGGGTTAAAACCGTTGATATGCAATTGTTCATGGTATGATAATCGTGCACGTTCAAATCGTGGTAAACCGTCATACCGGTATATTGTTACAACCCTAGACATGACATGATATAATATGATGTATTAGTAAAAATCTAAAGGAATGTTATGAATATTTATAAACAAAATACTGCATTTTTGGCATAATTACAGCATCATGTTATTGTTCAGGAATAGTTTTAATATGCTTATTTGTTGCTCAAGAAAACCTTTATTGGTTTAATTTTAAAAACCATGTTGCTGTCTATTATTTTGGTCTTGTGTTTTTTAAATGCCAATATTTTATATAACACATTTTATTAATGCATTGTTTCTAATTAAAAACATTCATCACTTTGATAAATGAAAAAATTTATGAATAAAATGTATATAAATTACAATTTTACATTAAAAATCATTTAAATTGTGACATTTTTTTGCAGATCACGAAAGAAGAGCACACTTTTCAGGACATTATGAAATGCTACCGAACACAACCACAGGCCAACAGTCATGTGAGTATCAACTCTTAGTCTTTCTAAATGGCATAGAAATGCTTTAATGCACACAAGTGTCGAAAATCTTGTAATTTTAGCTGAAAGGAAGCACAACTCAGTCTTTGATATACCCACATCAACCATGTTTTGTGTGTTTGTAGGTGTACCGCAGTGTTTTAATAAAGAGGCGTCCCAAAGTGCAGCAGGCTGACGAGAACATGGAAGTCGATCCTCCAGCAGACCAGTGTAAGGACGATACAGACAAACGCATCTGTCTTTTAAAAAATAAATAAATAGTTCACAGTATAGTGCATTAGCATTCAAATATTTGGAGCCAGTTAGATGGGGTTTTTTAGATGTTAGATGGTATGTTTTTTAGTTGTAAGGACATGTTAAATTTAATAAAAGTGTCCTTCCTGTCACCTTGGAATAATGATGAAAAAGATTATTTGCATAAATTGCTATTTGTCCATCAAAGAATCATGAGGAAAATCTTTCATGATTTCCACGCAAATATTTTAGTTGCGCAGCTGTCTTGAATTTCACCAATAACAAGAAGTGTTTCTTGAGCACCAAACTCAGCATATTACAATAATTTCTGAAAGATTATGTGAGGGCTGAATGCTTAATTTGCATCAAAGGAATAAATAATGTTTTAACTATTCAATTCATCTTTATTTTTCTAGTGCTTTTACAATGTAGATTGTATCAAAGCAGCTTCACATAGAAGATTATAGTAAATTGAAACTCTTGTCAGTTCAGTTTTTGACTATATTTGTTCTCTTTAAAAGGGAAATACTTGGCTAATATGTTGCTTAGAATTATATTAGACAAATACAAGTGTTTTAATTTATTCTTATTTTAATTTTTTTATTCATTGTTCTGTCAATTATTTTCATTATAAATTATTACTTTTCACTTATTTTTAAGTCCAAAGAGAAATGGACTATTGTTTGTTTTTGTATTATTATTATTATTATTATTATTATTATTATGTGCTGTATTACTCTGGTTACTGAGCAGCAATAGATAACACTTTTCACAAATCACAAATTTGATTTTTCTAAAAAGTTTTAAAATCAATGAACGCATATTAATCGTGATACCCGTGATTATTCCTCAGACTATAATTGTACAACCAACATCTATAGTCATTGCATCCCTAAATAATATATATTTAGATCTCAAATGTACATGTATATCATACAAAGTATGTATAAATTTAAAAACACAAAGAGTTGAAGTCAGAATTATTATCCCCTCTGAATTATTAGCGCCCTGTTTATTTTTTTTCCCCAATTTTTGTTTAACACAGAGAAGATTTTTTTTAACACATTTCTAAACATAATAGTTTTTATAACTCATCTCTAATAACTGATTTATTTTATCTTTGTTATGATGAGAGTAAATAATATTTTACTAGATGTTTTTCAAGACACTACTATACAGCTTAAAGTGACATTAAAAGCTAAACTAGGTTAAATCAGGCAGGTAAGGGCAATTAGGCAAGTTATTGTATATTGATGGTTTGATCTGTAGACAATTGGGGAAATATATTCACCTTATTCTTCACAGACGAGCGGGCGAAGCCATTTGAATCTTTTTGGCTCGAGACTTCTGGTCTCATTCACTTCCATTCATTTTTAAACATTAAAAACAGCTCATTATGCTGTTTGATGTTGCAAACTGATATTTCCCTGTTATATTATTATACTTGGTCTGTATAGTAATGCAAACATTTGTTTGTAGAGCAAGTAGTTTGACCGTTTTTTGCCGTTTATTATTCCCAGTCATTTCTCCCAAAGGCGACTGAATCTGAAGTTTTAAGACAATCGCGAAAACAGGCGCACTTCCGCATTTCAGAATAAGGTCAATAGCTTAAAGGGGCTAATAATTTTGTCCTTATTTTTTTTTTTTAAATTAAAACTTATTTTATACTAGCTGAAATAAAACAAATCAGACTTTCTCCAGAAGAAAAGAATATTATCAGACTTTATTTATATGTTTATTGTTTTATTTATTATTACAATAAACTTATTTTTACTGTTTATTAAAAATTGCAGGCATAATGAGACTTCTTCAAAAAACATTACAGATTTACTCCAATTGGATGACATTTTGTGCGTTTTTATTTAGTTACTGTAGGTTTCATAAATTTGGCAACATTCTGCTGGCATTTAATTGCTTTGTTATTTGTTTTGTTTTACAGCCAATGAGAGGACTGATCAGGCAGCCAATGAGAGGAGCGATCAGGCTGACAGAACACAGACTGTCTTCGAATCAGAGGAAAGAGGGGATCTCATCCAGTTCTACAACAACATTTATGTGTCAAAGATGAGATCATTCGCTTTCAAATATGCACTTTCCACGCTTGATAACAGGGTTGGTTTTGTTGCTTTGCTTCATTATGTTGTTGCATGTAATTGATAACCGTTTTTTTTTTTTATTCACACTCTCTCTCTCTTTTTGTTTCTCTATAAAGATGGAAGCTCCTCCGTTATCTCCGTTCCCCTCCGTTCGGTCTCACACTCTCTCTCCTCGCCGTGTGTCTCAGAAACACTCCATCTTTGTGTCTCCTCATAAAAACAGCTCCAGTCTCACGCCCAGCACTGCATACACATACAGGTTCACTGGAAGCCCTTCAAAGGTTAGTCCAACTGAGCATGTGCAGAAATATTTGCAATAGTTATTTCAGGATATTTTTAATATGTTAGGGCTGTCAGTCAAATATTTAATTGCATGATTGCCATGATTTAACTTTTAATCGTTCAATTGTACATTAAATTAAGATAATGTTACATTTTTGAAATTACATAACATCAGGAACTAAAATGCACACAGTAATTAATCAAACACAACATTGTGTTATAGGGATGCACTGAAATGAAAATTGTTGGCCAAAGCATAATGAAGCACTTCAAGAGACTGAATACCCAAAATAAAACTTTTTAACCTTTTTTTTTCTTTCTCCAAATATTAAAATATGATTTTTATATTACAGTTCTATAAGAAGTTTATATTGAGTCTCTTACACTTCCATTTTTTTGTTTCACCAATGAAAATGGTTCCATCCAAAGCTAGGACACACCACTGGGGTATTTCACTACTGATTTTTTTATGTTGTTTTACACAAATGATTCGCTGTCAAATTCATGAAGACAATAGGTTTGGACACACAAGATTCACACATGAACATTTACTTAAAGGAGAAGAACAACCAAAATGTCAGTATTGCAAAAGAAACCAAACTGTTAAACATATTCTTGTGGAATGCCCTATTTTTTATGTTATCAAACAACATTTTTTGTCTGGAAAGACTTTAAAAGGAAATATTTTTAAATGTGAATCCTTCTAAAATTGTACAATTTTTATCAAAATTAAACCTTAAATTGTTTTTAAAAAAAAATTCTTATCTTATTATTATTATTATTATTATTATTTTACCTTGTGTATTATGTATTGCTGTTGGTGACTTTTAATTATTAAAAAGATTTTTATAATCATATAAAAATAGTATTTGTAAAATGTGGTAAATTTGATCTGTTTTTATGCCATGACAAAGCCAAAGAAGTTGAAATGGCTATAAACTCAAAATTCTCTCTCTCTCTGTTATTTCAACAATTGGGCTATGCTGCTGTCGAAAACCCAACAAATAATTGAGAAATTCTTAATTTAAGAAATTTTATATCTAAACCTTCAAATTTTTATTTATTTATTTTTTTAAGTCAATTACTCTGACATTTTTAACATAAATATTAGGTTTAAGTGAAATGTGATTACAGGAAGGACTTTTGTGGTGCTTCATATGCTGGGGTATGAATTACAAAGGTGCTTGATTTAAAATGGAATGGAGCTTTACAAAGTCCTTGAATCTGGTGTCATGAAAGTCTGGGAACTCTGATCACAAAAGATGTTTTAAAAATGTTCATATGATCGAATACACAGTGTAGTTTTGCATTGTTGTTCTCAATTGGATTATAGCATATACAATTGAAATCAGAATTATTCTTCCCCCTGTTTGTTTTTTTCCCCCAATATCTGTTTAGGAGCAGATTTTCTCATGATCACTGCCATGATGACAGTAAATAATATTTGACTAGATATTTTTCAAGACACTTCTATACAGCTTAAAGTGTAAAGTTTAAAGATGTAATTAGGTTAATTAGGGTAACTAGGCAGGTTAGTGTAATTACGCAAGTTAACTATGTTTGTATGTATGTATTGTATGTGTGTGTATGTATGTATTGTATGTGTGTATGTATGTATGTATGTATATACACATTTTTTTCCCCTTCAAGTTTGGATTAATGGAAAGATTTTTTTTCTGAACTAATGCTGCGTTCACACCAGATGTGGAAGCATCAAGTACAAGTGATTTACAAGTGAAGTCAATGCAAAGATTCGAACAGACATCCTGCGGGGCGATACATGTGAATGATGCGATTTGCGCGAAAGAAACATTAACCAATCATGAGCTTTGTCTTCTAGGGGAGTGATTATGTTGCCTGTTGTTGGTTTTCCCGGGGGAAATCCTCCTACCGACCCCAGACAACAGTTCATCAAACTGGGCTTGGCTTAGTTGGAAGCACCGCTAAAGCTTCCATCATCCAGGTTTATTTTCTGGAGGAGTTTATGAGCTCACAGAGCTGCTGTACCTCTGAATGGATCTAGTGGACTCAGACGCGGCTCCAAATGAATCAACACTGTTTTTCAGCCTTTATAAAGCACATAAACGCAGCTCTTGGCTCAATAAAATCCATGTTAGCCTTTTAGCAATGAAGCTAGCGTCACCGAGCAGACAGAAGCCCTGCCCATGACTATTGCGTCTATTTTTAGATGAACTTGATGCGCAAATAAAACGGATTTGACGCACGAATAAAGTGAGTAAACTTAAAATGTTCACACGTCTGTTTACGACCCAGTATCGCTGTTTATTCACGCGTCTGGTATGAACGAAGCATAATAATATTGACTTTAAAATGGTTTTAAAAAGCTACTTTGATTTTAACTGAAAAAAATTCACAGGAGGGATAAAAATGTTATCTTCAACTGTATATTTCATTTGCAAACCCCTCCTGATTTGCACAGTCATTTTCAATCAAGATTTTTGGAGTTCTGGCTGTGGATCTAAAAGTTGACCTGTTTCTCTGCAGGAGCTGAGTGACATAAACCAGATGATCCGTCAGGGTGGCGTGAGCAAGAAGCGGGCGTTCACCATGGAGGGCGACGAGACCGAATCTCCGTCTAAATGTCTCCGGCAAGAGAACGACGACGTGCTGCTCAAACGCCTCCAGGACGTGGTCAGCGAGAGAGCCAGTCTGTGATCTGCTTTCATTGCAGACTCAATTAAAAAAAAAAAAAAGCCAAAAACTGAACTTTGTTTGAGTTGCTCAGCGACTCCAGGATGTAGAGAGAGAGATGTGACAATTATTAATTATGTCGCAGATTAATAACACAACCAAAAATAACAAAAACAGCTCGTGCAGCTCGAGTATCATGACTGAGGTTTTTAATCACAGAAGAAGTTCAGGGAGATCAGTATGAAGGTAAAGACTTTATTCTGAATCAAACAATCTTTTATCGTGCATTTTTCACAATATGCATCATGCTTTTGTAAAGAGCGCCTATTACAGAGATGTTCTGTAGCTTTTCCAATCAAAACTGAACATTTTTTGCAGTCAAGGAGTTGCTCTGCTTCAAATATTTAAAGGATTCTCACTATTTTTTTATTTTTTTTATTATTCTCTCATTCTGTATCAACACAAAAGGAGAATAATTTAAAGGTTTGTAATTGTAATTTGTGCTTTTTTTATTCAAGGTTTATTTGGCATATTGTACTGAACAAGCAAGTTTAATCAATTTTTAATGCTTTTCTGCTAATCAAATGATCATCTTTTTGCAAGCATCCTGCAAATCTATAGCACAGCTCTGTATTCAGATGTGTGGTATCTACACCTTTCAATTGTCATTTATTTCTCTTTTTAAGTTCTTGTATTTTACTGTAACAGAGCAGTTTTCTGTTTTTGAGAGATTTCTAAAAAAAAAACAGGTCATGTTTACAGTGCATTTCACTGTTTTGGTATTAAATGTGGTGGATTTCACCATCATGGTGTGAGTGTGTGGTGTACAGTAGCTTGTTAAATACTTTGTTTTACAGTTTTGCTGTTCATTTTATTCTAATCAGTTAGCATTTACTGGTCATCATGGTCGCTGCGGGGGTCAGGTGGGAGTTTGGACTATTCTTAGGGCCCATGTCGTTTTTGGGGCCCCAGATTTACTATTAAGGCTGACTTATACTTCTGCGTAGGCTTGTGCCAGTATAAGATTCTGACAGTATGATAACCATGGGTAAAATATTATGGTATTGTAATTACTGCCCTAAAATATGATCTTTTTAAATGTCTGGGTAAAAAAACTAAAACTTTCCCCACTGAATATGGTATATTTTTTTATAACATTTAAACATTTTTGAAGCAATGAATGTCAGGCTACATTATTGAAATAAGTCATTGACCTCTGCTGTCTTCATTAGTTTCAAAATCACAGATTTCTTTTCAACTGGATCTTGGTGTATAAGAGATTTGTTTTTCAGATGTTTCCTGAATCATGGACTGACCAGTAGCTTGTGATGTTGAGGGTTCTTTTCTACCATTGCCCTAAAAAAAAACTTAAAATAGTAAAAAAAAAAAAAAAAAGAAGAAGACGACAAAATTACACTTAAAATATTGTAGGAAAGGTATAACAGAAATGTTTAATTGTTTTAAAACCTTGTCTTTTCAAAACTGTGGTATACCTTAACCGGTTATCATCCCATGCCTACTGCATTATGCTCCCCTCGCGTGGACTCATACCCCTCGCCATGGATGACACCGACACACAACTCTCAAAACATTTAACTAGTGAGTGTTTACAAGTGTCAAGGAGCTCTAGATGGTTATTTCAAGAGTTCCCACTTAGATAGGCTTAGCGTTTATAGCAGGTTGGGCTTGCTGTCCCGGGAGAGAACCCTGAGCTCAGAGATACTTGAGCCCAAGGCTCCCGCCCGGTCAATAGGCATATAAGGGGATTCGAGATCAGCTAGGTCTCTAGATCTTCCCCTTAGAAAAAGGAGGAAAAAAGAGGAGATGGAGTGGAAGAGGGGATTCTTCCAAAACGACGACAAAACAATCCATTTATAGTAAACTAGGATCAATCTGATTGGATTATTACTGATTACAGATGAGAATCCAGTCGTGTTCATATCACATGCTCCTCTCAAAAGTATTTGTGAAACTTCCCTTTGTGTTTAACTTATGGTTAAAGTTGTTGCACATCCACCGGTTCCCGCCTCTGAATGAGTGCGTTTTAGCTACTTAAAAACAAAACCCCAGCGAAGAAACCTGACACAGAGGAACATAGAAACCTACTGCCAGCTCGTGTTTCATTCATTCATTTTCTTGTCGGCTCAGTCCCTTTATTAATCCGGGGTCGCCACAGCGGAATGAACCGGCTACTTATCCAGCAAGTTTTTACGCAGCGCATGCCCTTCCAGCCGCAACCCATCTCTGGGAAACATCCACACATACATTCACACACACACTCGTACACTACGGACAATTTAGCCTACCCAATTCACCTGTACCGCATGTTTTTGGACTGTGGGGGAAACCGGAGCACCCGGAGGAAACCCATGCAAACGTAGGGAGACTCCACACAGAAACGCCAACTGAGCCGAGGCTCGAACCAGCGACCTTCTTGCTGTGAGGCGACAGCACTACCTACTGCGCCACTGCTTCGCCCCAGCTAGCGTTTCAGTAATGTTATTGCAATGCAACACAAACAGCATGCAGAAGTATAAATGCGCAGCTACGCGCAAGGCAGGTGCCGTCGATCATGCCGATCGCTCGACGCAGAAGTATAAGTCAGCCTTTAGGGGCCCAATCAACCAATACGGCCACCCCCAACCTTTTCCCCCCTTCTTTTACTTTCGTATGTGACACCAGCCCAATCTGGTCCACCCTCTTTTTTCACTGTCGTCCACATCACCCCACCAGAATGTTGTCAAATGGTCCATACCGGGACCTGCTGGTCATATGCTCAATAGGATGGCGGTTTTTCTTCAAATCATGTGCTACGGCCGTCTGTATCTCTCAGTATTGTCAGTTATTTTTTTGCACAATCCTTGTATATTTTACCTGGTCATGTTTTTCATCTAGCTTGCTCTCTGATGTCCAACACTAAGTATTGCTTTGTAATCTTTTTTTTTTTTTTTTTTTTTTTGTAATATAGCGGTGGATTATTTTGAGAAATATTCCTCTTATGTTTATACAAACTCCTATTTTAAGATTTTTTATGTTTTTCCACAACATTTTCCTTCCTGATTTTTATATTTTATGTTATTAAATCTAGAAACATTTTGTAGTTTAGGTTTATTGTAATTGATGTTTCAAAAAGGTCGACTTTTGGTCTGTTCTACAATCAGTGCCTTAGTATGTACATAATAATAAAATAGACATGTTTTATCATTTCTCTTTGAAGAATTGTCTTTGATGTTGCAAAACAGCTTTAAATCAGACTTTTAAAATAACATCAGGGAAAAACATGTTACAATGTGTGTGTGTGTATACAAAAGCACAGATACTAATGGAAGCACCTAATTGCTTTAATTTACTTTAAATATTTACCCAAAGTAAACTCAATATACAGACAATATGCAAAATTAAATTAAACCATAAAAACTGGAATGTTACATTGCAAAGTACACACACTCTGGTCACTTTATTAGGTACACTTTACTAGTACCGGATTGGACCCCCTTTTGCCTTCAGAACTGCCTTAATCCTTCGTGGCATAGATTCAACAAGGTACAGGAAATATTCCTCAGAGATTTTGCTCCATATTGACATGATAGCAACACAGTTGCTGCAGATTTGTCAGCTGCACATTCATGATGCATTGCGAATCTCCCATGCCACCACATCTTGTAGGTAACTCTATTGGATTGAGAACTGGTGACTCTGGAGGCCATTTAATGTTTATTAAATAAGTAAAACGATTATAAAAGGCGGGTGTTGCATTGCAAACTGGATAAAATAGAATAAAAATACTTTTGCACAAAATAATTGTGAATTATAAAGTGTTTTTAGACAAATTGATCTTCATACCTGGTTAACTGAGTACTTTTTGCACAGTGTTCTTAACATGAAGAATGACACACGACATAAACTTGCTCTTTTCCCACTGCCGTCACACCAAAGAGCATAGAATCACCATCATGTCAGGTCATTGTAAGCTCTTTGTCACACTGACTGTCATGGATATTTTATTCAAATAGAAGCACCTTTATTAGCTGATCACGTGACAAGATTGGCAGTCATGTAAAACAAAAATACAAATGGAATTGAGAGCATACATAAATGTTTAACAACACATTTCTCTCTCTCTTTTTTTCAGCAGATGCAGAGTTCATACACCAAACATAAACATGTTAAATTTCATCAACTTAAATATTGTTGCTGGTTTGGTCAACACAACCTTATTGTAAGTAATTGGACAGTATTCAAGATTGATTTTCCCTTGCTTAACTCGGATGTCACAAAATGATAATGTCGACGTTTGCATCTTTGTCTATATACAGGATTGTTTTGCTAAAGCTATTCCAGCCTGATTATCCTCATATACCTTAGACCAGGGGTGTCCAAACTTTTTTATGTGAAGGGCCAAAAACTCAATATCATTGAGAGTCGTGGGTCGTAAGTTGCCATAGGTAAATTCCTAAATTATTTCATAATGTCTAGAAATAAACAGAAAACATTACTATTGCAGGATATTTTTGTAATTATAGTTTATTACAATAAAAACGAACAATTTATAATACAGCGCATTTCAATGCTGAATACACTAGTCAAGCAGAATCTGCCTTTATCTTCATTTGCTCACTGATGTCTCTGCATTATCCTCGACCTGTCGGATGGCAGTACATACATTTAAAAACTGCATTTATATACTTTATAAAGGTCTGTTCTTTTATTCTTCCATGGATGCACTGTTTACATTAGACCACGTGTGACCACTTTTTCACATCTGTTTATCACCAGCCAAGATCTGAATTAGTATATTTAACAAGGTACATGTTGGATTGGGAGGCAAGACTGAAATACAGATGGTCAAAAATTAAGTTGAGCGCTGATGTAACTGTGATTCATCCTGTATGTCTCTGATGACCTTGTGGGCATTACAAACTAGACAAAAAGAGAACGCATCCTGTTTCTACGCCTCACTCTCTGCAGAAACTGTTGTTGATGTATGATTGTGACCTTCTTTGCAAAGAATAAAACCTTAAAAGACACTTTGGGTAAGACTTCTTTATCACTAAGAGAAAAAATTAAGAAAATTACTACTACAAAACAAAATCAGATTTATTTAATTGAAACATTTCATTTCAGTTAGTTTTTTGTAGCTTAGCAATAAAACAAAACGTTACATTAAAAATAACAGTCTCTGAACCATCCTCATAATTCTCCCTCTCTTCTTAGGTGGGGATGGTGCATAGATATATACACTAGATCAGGGGTTTTCAAACTTTTTCAGCTGAGGGCCCCTTTGTGTAGGGCGAATTCTTTCGGGGACCCCCAAAAAATAAATATCACGCCACCCCCTAAAATTAACAACTGTACCTAATTTTTTAAAATTGTATTATTCAATACATTTATATTATTATATATTATTCAATAAATTTATATTATTCACTATCTGGATTAATTTTTGTAAGATGTTAGTTGAGTTGACATGGTTTCAGTGCTTCAATCTATTGATCAAATCTTCATGCGCAGTGTTCATTGTGGTCTGCTCTCACTGGATTCCATCAAGCCATATTTTGTGTTCGAGTCATCACGTTTACACAGTTTTTATGCCATTTTTATGCTTTTTTTCTGCCTATGCACAGCTAGACTCTTCTGTATTTACCCTTACAGCTGAGACTCTAAATGTATCTAAAGATTTAAAGCATTAAAGTTTTAAAGAGTTTTGTCATTCATCAGCCTGTTAACAGTTAATTGTACTGTTGTAACTAGCAATACTACAATAGAGGCTGTAGTGGTTCAGTGTGTTTTGTTTATTTTTATTTCTTTTTTTTTTGTGCACATCATAATTTACTCAGGTCGACAATCCTGACTTACACTGATAAAAAATAATTTCCTAAATGCAATCTAGAATTGGGTATTCAAGATCAAAAAGCCACAAATTTTACTTTACTTAATTTTAGAAGCTTTGCTGGCTTTAAAATGTCCATACCAGTTTGTTCTATTAATAATACTGAACATTACATTTAAATTATTTACACAAATAAATATGGGGAAAAAGTGGAACATCTTGAAAAAAATGCATTTATATTCAGAGTATTAAAATTTGATCAGATATGTTGAGCTCCAATAAATACAGAGCACTAATACATTTTAATATGTAATAATTAATTAGCCCTATAACATAACACAAATAGATACATTATAATTTTTATAGGCTATAGTGGTTTTATTCAGGGTGTATACAATTTATTTATTTTTAATCATCCAGTTATGAACCAACGTAAGAGGTTCACTGCAGAGCTTATCCAGCTTCCATCAGTGTAACAGGGGTGAAACTCTGAGCACTCGCTGATGTGATGACAGCTCCCTTCATTGTTATTGCAGCACTTTTTGCTTTACAATTTTTAATATGTTTGTTTGCCATGCTGCAAAGAGGACCGTCTGATATTTTTACAATGCAAAGTGTAAAGCCTGTCGCACTTTGGACGAGGTGCAATGTTGTGCCGTGTCTTTAAAATGCTATTTGTTTTATATGAGTGAAGACTGCGCAGAGAGGCGCGCGCTCCGCAGCACCCAACTGATCGATTACTTTGGAACGCAAGCCATATACAGGGAAGTGCTTCCAACCTCCGATAATGTTCTTATTGATCATGTATTTTAACTGAAATATTGTCAGTAAATAGACCTGAGCTTTCATTTAGTTGTTTAGCGTAAAAGAGGTAAGCGTAAGTGAAAGGTAAACGCCGTCAGGTGCAGCAGACAAGCGCCAAAAATCACAGGAAGTGCCCTGCCAGAAGCGCTTATTCAATAAAAGTCCCTGTGCTCAGAGGCGGGCCGCTGCGCTTCTTTTCCTGTTTCACGAAAGTGTCAACTGCATTTAAATGACATAAGCATAAAGCTTAATTTTTGCAGTACTTTTAAGCTCAAATTATTATAAAAAATATATTAACCTTCAGAATGATGCGAGACACAAAATTCAACCATGTGGGCCCAATGATTACCCCTTATCTAAAAATTTTTGCGGCCCCCCTAGCGCCATGGCCGCGGCCCCCAGTTTGAAAACCCCTGCACTAGATATCGCATTCGAACCCCGAACATGCGTCAATAGCGCCGCCATATTTGTACAGTGCTCCCAGGACAAATGTCATTCAACCGCACTAGTCAAGACTGTTACTACGTGAAGATGCTGGATTTTAGCGCTGTGTACGGGTGTAGTAACAAGCAAACAAAGAAAACAAAGCACAAAGACCGAACATTTCATAGGTAAGGTTTCGTTTTTTACGTTTTTGTATGTTATGAACTTTCGTACTAAATAAGTTACGATTCACCATAAGACAAGGTAGCACCAACTCGCACTAAACACTTATGCAAGTTTTGTTAATTAAAATCAGCAAACAATGCTAAAGAAATGTGACAACGAGATACTGCGGTGCCAGAAACTTGTATTATTGTCAGCTAGTGAACGAGTCGTTTATAACAGAGATTCATTCACAAACGAATCGGCTCCCTCCGTCAGATATATGTGTATATGTGTATTTCTCTGGCTCTAGATGGCCTCCAGTCCTCACTGGAGCTTGGCCCCGCATTCATTTCAAAGGAGCGCTACCCTGTACTAAAATGGTGGCTCTATTGACGCATTCCTTCCAATAGACAACAGGTAGGCGAAATCTAATGTATATATCTATGGGAATGGTGGGCCAAATCAAAGGTTAACGTGTGCCCCATCTCTGCCCAGACTCACACTCTAGTCTATCAATGTGTTGTAGCAGTTGCATATATTCAGCCTCACAAAGTAGGCTGTGTCTTTGTCTTTCATGTGACTAATAGAAAACAAATGAAATTGAGAGCATACACAAATATTCCACATATCTATTTCGCAAATTCTCTAAATTCTTGATTTTTTTGTTTGTGATATTTAGGTATCTGGCGCTAGAGGGCAGCCGTCGTCCGTTTGAGCCAATCAGAAAGTTCAAAACGAGTGACGCGCGTACGTCGTGCACTCGCAGGCCTGCGTGAAGCGCGAGTGGCAAAACCAACGGGTGTTTTAGCATAAATGAACGCTTTACGAGATTCCTCACGGTTTCCACGCCGCGAAATGTTCGAGGAGATGTCAGTGGAGAGAAACTGGACGGACACCGAGACCAGGGCTCTGCTGTACATCCGACAGGACGAAGAGATCAGCAGGCAAATCAGCGGGACCGTTCGCGACTCGCTAATATACGCCGAAATCTCGAGGCTCCTCAGTGCTCAGGGGATCCACAGAACCCAGCGGCAGGTCACAACCAAGCTGAAAACCCTCAAGCAGAAGTTCCTGAAAATACACGAGCACCACAAAAACAGCGGGCACGGGAAAGTGTACTGGAATTGCTATGATCTCTGCAAGTCTATCTGGGGCAGCGGAAGACCCACAAACACTTCAACACTTCATCATAATAATAATAACACAGTGAAACTCGAAGAGCCGCAAAGTACATCCATTGAAGACGCGAGAAATGAGAGCAGATCCACGGATATTGAAGTGTCCATCAGTCACGACGAGGAGACCGATGACCTGACAGAAGGTGCATAAGATAGTGTGTTATTATGGTCACATGACTTCACTTGCATGGTCAGAAAAGTGCATGGGTAACACTTTTAATACCGTTATATTATAAGTGAGGTTTCAGTCAACACAACATGGGTAACACTTTACAATAAGGTTGTATAAGTTAATGTTAGTTCATACATTTACTAACACGAACAAACAGATATTGTTTAACAACAATACAATGTTTAAATATAACAATGATACAGTATTTATTTAGATTAGTTACCCTTAGTTAATGAAAATGCACTAATGTTAACAAGCATGCATTTGGATGTTAATAATGCATTAGTAAACTCTAAACTATGATTAATTGATGTTAGCATTATTGAAACCTTATTGTAAAGTGTGACCAGTTAATTACTAGAAAAATAGTATGTTAAAGAGTATGCAGTAGTATGTAAGACGTTGTGTTATATATACATTATTTCAAAATGACCTCATTTTCATGCTCTGTCAGGCTGATTTAACTGCCTAAAAATCTAATTTAACTTAAGGTTTCTGCAGGTCTTAAATAGTCTTAATTTACAGGTTAATCAGATGCACGAAAATGCTGTTAATGTGTTAACTTTGACGACATTCAGAGTGTTGGTGACTGTTTTTCCTAAGTAGAACATTATAATTTTAGATGAAACTGTAAAAACTGTAAAAATCTGTAAAAAGTCAAAAAAAAAAAAATCTGTAAAAATATCTACAAAAGTTTTGAGAGACTAATATCTTATGCAGTCAAAACAAATAGATGACCTGTGGTTCAGGTCTGCTAAATTGAGGTAAAGTTGGTTTAGGAACAACCTGTGTAACATCTTGTATAAAACCAACTTTACCTCAATTCAAAGTACTTGTGGCCATTGACTTATGTTTTGTAAATCCTTAATAAGGACCACAAAACATTTTTATTAAATAATTATTTAATGTTCTTATTTTTAAAATAAAGACTTGTTCAGGGTATCCCTGGGGTCTTAGGTCTTAAAATCGAAAAAAAAACAAAAAAAAAAAAAAAACGAAATAAATAAAATTAGCCCTTAAAAGTCTTAAATTGGCTGAAATATTGTCTTGTAGGTGTAAAATCATTTTAAACGAATCTTAATTTTTTACTTTATGTAAAGCTACTCAATCAATCCAACATATCCAGTCAAAAAATACATCTGAATAAAATAAACTGAATAAACATTCTGTTGTGCATACACTTATTTTTATGTTGTTAATTGTGCTTAATAGTTATGTTGCAAAAACAAATTATGTATGTAAAGAGTCTGCTTGTTTTAAGGTATTATTTTAAATATGTGGCTAAGAAATAACTAGAACTACAGGCAAATCATATTAGAATGGGCAAGTAAATTTTTTTTTCTCAGTTTTTTCCCTCCTTTGGATCTTTAAAAAGTTTTTAGCTTTAGCCGTATATACAGTTGAAGTCAGAATTAGCCCCCCTGTTTATTTTTTCCCCAATTTCTGTTTAACAGATAGATTTTTTTAGCACATTTCTAAACGTAATCATTTTACCAAATCATTTATAATCACTGATTTATTTTATCTTTGCCATGATGACAGTACATAATATTTGACTAGATATTTTTCAAGACACTTCTATACACCTTAAAGTGAAATTTAAAGGCTTAACTAGGTTAACTAGGCAGGTTAGGGTAATTAGGCAAGTTATTGTATAACAATGGTTTGTTCTGTAGACTATCGAAATAATGTGTTATAATAATTTTGGCTAATAATTTTTTACCTTAAAATGGATTAAAAAAATAATTTAAACTGCATTTATTCTAGCCGAAATAAAAGAAATAAGACTTTCTGAAATACTATCAGACATGCTGTGAAAATGTCCTTGCTCTGTTAAACATCATTTGTGGAAAAATTTTAAAAATCAAAAATTAAAGGGGGGCTAATAACTCTGACTTCAACTGTAAGTCTGAAATTTCATTTTTTTATGGTCTTAAAATGGTCTTAAAAAGCCTTAAATTTGACTGAGAAACCAGCAGAAACCCTGCTTTTTAGATGTGTGGGTGGCTGGAAGAGTCAGCTAATTTAAATCTTTGAGTGAATTGTCCCTTTAAACTCAAATAAGATTTAATCAAAACATGCAATTATATTCTACTATCTAAATCTAAGTGGGTGGTTTAAAAGTATTTACTTGAATAAAACAGGCAGAAAACAACAAATCAATGGTGTATGGTCGCAAATTTCCAGGAATTTCCTAAATTTGAAACTTTCCATGGTAATTAACAGGAAAATATGGTAATAAAGGGGAATTAATTGAAATAAACTTAATTACAAGTTACCCTGTAATAAGGAAATGACGTAGTTCGGGGAAAAACAACAACTTGGTTGTATAAATATCAGTAAAAACAACAGGATTAGTGCAAAGTGATTGGTATGTCTCCCCTGTGCATCCCCCAGTCACATGCACACAGCTCTCCAGTGAGTGCACAGCTCTTTAGGCCACACCCTCCTCATCAACAGGGCTTTTCTCCGTCACATTCACACAGCTCAGATCTTCTCTTGAACACTTCTCACTTCAGCACAACTACTGAAGCCACACTGCTGCCTTTCAGCATAAAGACAATATCCAGCAAAGTAAGTTTTGATGATTTTACTAGGCTGAACATATATTTGATAGCTAGCTAGCCAGCAAATAAGCTAGATGTGCTAACTTTAGGCTAGCAACAATGCTAGTTAGCTCAATTTTCCTGCTGTTCCTTCTGCTTTTTGCAAGCCAGTTTCATTTCAGTTTATTTTAGTGTTGCTTCTCTATTCTTGTTCATTCCTCCTCTATCTATTGTAAAAGATTTGTGCCATTGCACAATATGTTTAGCTAACTATTCATACATGTGTGTTTGGCATTGAATTAGTGTGTTATTTTTTTCACCAGCCCTTTTCTAATCTTATTCTACAGAACTATGCCACGTCCGCTGTCTGAAGTGTGGAAACATTTCACCCCAGCATGTGTTTCAGGAAAGGCTGTGTACATTTGCAATTACTGCGCGCAGCCGTATGTTAAGAACGCCACAAAGTTGCAGCGACATATAGTCAAGTGCCTAATGTCTCATCAGGGGTCAATGCAAGCAGCGACCGGCAAGAGTTTCTCTGTTAACATTAGAAGTGAAGATGACTCCAGTGTTCACCCTCTCGACAGCTCTAGAATCGAAGGACTGATGAATGGTTTGTTGAGAAGTGGCTCACGCTGATGCTTGTTCATTCATGTAAATTCCTGTGAAGTTTCCAAACTGGGATTATTGCCAAAAGTCCTCTGTGTAATTTCCTGTGGAAAGTTTCTGGAAATTTACCAGAAATGTTATTCCTCTTTTGCAAGCCTTAACAACGGGAAGCTGTGTGATGTATATTTGCATAGCACATACATTGCATAGTACATTTGTACAATTTTGTTTACAATATTTTGTAAACATGCAGTATTTAATGTTTGTCATACGAACAACATCCAATTTCATAAATTGTGGTTACAAGACTTAATTTGCATGCTTAATAGGCATGGGACGATAACCGGTTTCAAGGTTTACTTTTGGGAAAAGTCAGTATTTTAAAACGGCAAAAATGTTTTGTTATGCTGTTTCTAAGTTATAGAAACGGTATAACAATTGCGCTATTTATTTGTTATATATTTGTAACTGTACTACAAAAAAAATTACTAATGTTTTTGTGTCTTACACTTTACATACCTGAAACTTACCTAGAACTTTTTCATTGCTGCTCTTATAGTTGTGTAAATTGCTTCCTTATCCTCGTTTGTAAGTTGCTTTGAATAAAAGCGTCTGCTAAATGACTAAATGTAAATGTAATATGTAGAGGGTTTTTAAAGTATTTTATATTTAAGTCTTGCAGATACTAGAAGTCAATGGTTTATTTTAATTATGTGGTCTGACATGTTTATTTTTCCAAAATTTGCTAAATGTTTCCTAAAATGTAATATGTTGTGTTAAATGGGGAAAAAAGTAGTTTTTTTACTAAGATATTTAAAAAGATAATATTTTACAGCTGTAAACACAATACTGTGATACCGTGAAACTTAATATTTTTATCCAAGGTTATCATAATGTCAGAAACTTGTACCAGCCCATGCCTAATGTTTAATATACATCAGTATCCTGTTATCATCTCAGATATAGAAATATATAATTTTTTATAATTCGATACATTTTGTATTAATTAATATAAGTCCTTTTCAACTAATGATTTAAAACATTTATAATAATTCTGAAATTGTTGTTATTAGTTATTATGCATTTAATTGTTTTCAAAAGGTTTTATTTGCCTTTTCATAAGGCCTTAAAAGGGTGTTTTTCAATATATTTTGACATCGTTAAATCAATATGTGAGCAATTCCAGCATTATAGATGTGATGTGTGCAGTGAAAACTCAAAACATAAATTCACAAAGAAAGTATATGTTAACATCACATTGAAACATCTGTTTATATTTTCCTAAACAAATAACCACAGAGTTATGGGATCAGAAAATTATCAATGGGTAAACATATTTTATATTTTAAATGATGAAAATAAACATGCGTTATGGACGTGACCAAAAAAGTTTGTGAGTTTACAGCATACAACATACTTAACAGTAATTAAATTAAACCGTACAACCCGAAAGAAACAATACTAACCAAAAGGATAAGAGTTGCTCACTATAGAACGAAAATGACTGATTTTATTTTATTTGCACGTTTGCATTAATGAGGGAAAAGCTGCGTTATGCACTTGTGTGACTTTGGTAAATCAAATATAAAAGTTTGAAAACACTGACAGAGACATTTTTGAGTATTTTACAGTACTGTAAAACACAAGTCTACACAAACAACTTAGTAAGGGTTTTACTATTTTAATGAAAATATAATATAAATATAATAATAATAATATAAATATAGTATTTCATGGGAAGGGTGACGTTTGCATGGAATTGCTCATGTACCATGCACTTAAGATACAAAATTAAGAAATTAAATCTTTTATCCCTGAGAAACTGAACAAAATTATGCCTCATGCTTAAAAGAAAGTCTGTTGTGCTATGAAAATTGCTTTCATATTTAAAATGCGTGCATTTTGAACCCAATTTAGATAATCAACTCTAATCAATCAATTTTAGAGAACATTTAGATATTGTTTTCTGTTCTTTGGGTTTATAAAAAGTCTTTTACCTTCATAAAAACCTGCAGAAATCATATTTGTAGCTTAAATTGGGACTGTTGTTTATCTCAAGGTTTCTCATGAGATTTGAGTTGTCAGAAACCAGTACTGATTTCATTTAAACCATAAGTGCTGTAAAATAAAAAAATGTAAATTACATTAGATTAAATTATTAGCTTTATTATTAGTATTATTATTATTAATAATAATAATAATAATTATTATTATTATTTATTGATTGATTGATTTGTAAATTATACTCAAAATAGGTCAATATTTCATGTTTACCTGTGCATCATGTGACCATGCATGAACATAAAATATGCAGATGTTGTTAAATCATGGAAACTTAAAATCTAAAAATGAAAGAAAATATTTTAGGTCAGGTAAGATCCCTGCTTGAACTGAACATCAAGTTTAATAACTGACTTTTATGTTGTTTTATATTTAGTTAGTGTCGCTCCGCCTGTGAAGAAGAAGCCCAGAACTCATTTGACTGTGGAGCGTGTTCGTGATGAAGAGCCTCTGCTTGTGCAGAACCAGAGGGAGTTTGAGGAGCGCTGGCGGCGGGACGCCAGAGAGGAACACAAGGAGGAACGGGCCAGTCTGATGACCATGTGGAAGGAGATGATGGAGTTTCAAGGGAACCTCTTAAAGGAGTTTATTCACCGCTCATCCTCGTCTACATCTCTGCCTTCACTTCCGTCTTACAGCAGACCTGCTCATCACAATCAAGGGCCATCTACATTTCCAAGCACTAGTTACATGGCACCATACACCTCGCCAGAGTAAGACCACACACACTTCTGTTATTCTGGTTTTAGGGTGTCCACGGGATCTTAAATAGTGCCCATTTTTAGGCCTTAAAAAGTTTTAACTTCACTGAAATATTGAGTTGTAGGTCTTAAATCATTTAAAATGTCATTTAAAATGTTTCCTCTGTCCAAATAAAGCTACCCAATTAGGCCAAAGCACATCCAGTTACTAACAATCCATCTAAATAAATCTTTTTTTATTATTATTGTAAAGATATACAATCACAACAGCTGTTAGATGTTTTTACAGAAGATTTCTGTCAGGGGAAAACTATAAACAATAACACAATTCCTAATGACAGTATATCCCTTTACATAATCTTCCATTTAAACAAACTATTTACAGAAGTAAGGGAGGAAGTAGGGAGTGGAAATAATATTTATAAATGGGCATCAAAAAATGTATAACAGAAAAAATTTACATTTAAAATATGTGGCTGAGAAATAACTAGTTTTTTTTTTCCTGAATCCTGAATGTTTAACTTTGTATAAGTCTAAAATTTCATTCATAATGATCATAAAAAGAGTCTTAAGTCTTAAATTTGACTTAATGAAACCTGCAGAAACCCTTTTTTAATGTTTACGACACCTCAGCACCATTTCTAATGATTAAATGCATCCTGTTATGCTTCTAATGCCTTGTTTCCACTAGGGCTGTCAATATGGCTGAAAAACTAAAATCCTAAAGATAAGAAAAATGTGAATAATATTAGAATTCTGAAGGCAATACAGGAAAAAAAGGAAAAAGTACTGTATTGTATCAGAAGAAACCCACAAGAGGGCGCAAGCGAGCACAATAATAGGAAACAGATCAAGCCTTTCTTCTTTTATTGAAATGAAATCACTCGCTTTTTAAAGTGCATAATCTTTCAAACAACTGTTGTTAAATACAACATAATGTCATTAATGTTTAAGTAAGGGAAATTAGGAATATTAACTTTTATATACCCCAACCCACCCAAAAATTTAATAAACAAAAAAACATTCAAAATAAGTATAAAATAAAATACAATACTGGACAAAATTTAAATTAAATGAAAATAATAAATATGTACATTTAAACTGACCAATGTGTGTGTTTGTGTGTGTGTATAAATAAAAAAAATTAAGTAAAAAATAAAACATTATTACATTGAATTTTAAATTACAGTTATCTTTCCAAAGACTTGTGTTTTTTAGCGATCTGTTTATAAAGTTAATGAAAGGAGACCACATTTTTTTTTAATGTTTTGCTTAACCTTTGATTGCATGTAAATTTTTTTTAGCTATTTTCCATACAGCCAAAACATTTATGTTGGGGATCAGTTATAAATCTGAAATAATGATTATTTTCTTTCTTAATTTTTTTTTTCGGGGGACACTTTTATTAGTAAAAGAGACCAGGGGTCCGTTTTTCGTATGATTTGGCAGATTAATTTAGTTTAAATTGGCTCTTTAAATAAATCAAAAAAGCATTTTGATATTGGTAAAGGTCTGCAGCTTTAGCGAAGCATCAAATCATCATCATATTAGCTGTCAAAACATATTCATGACCGCATAAATTGTTATTCCTAAAAAAAAAAAAAGTAGAATATTGTGCATGTCTATTGTCATAAACAAATTGTACTAAAGCTGGTACCCTAAAATAGTACGCGTTTGCATTGAAAAAAATGCCTTATTAATAAATGTTCTCTTTGAACCCCTTGGGTAGAACCACCCCATGACAGTCTTTGTAGGCCCTACTTTTATTTCAGAGTGCAGATTGCATAAGGTAATTTATTTTCTTTTTGACTTAGTCCCTTTATTAATCAGGGGTCGCCACAGCGGAATGAACAGCCAACTTATCCAGCACATGTTTTACTCAGCAGATTCCTTTCCAGCTGCAACCCATCATTGGGAAACACCTATTCTCTCTTGCTTTCACACTCATACACTTTGGACAATTTAGTTTCTTCAGTTCATCTATAGTGCATGTCTTTGGACTGTGGAGCACCTGGAGGAAACCCACACCAACACGGGGAGAACATGCAAACTCCACAAAGAAATGCCAAATGACCCAGTCGGAGCTCGAGCCAGCGACTGCCTTGCTGTGAGGCGATCGTTTTACCTACTGCGCTACCATGTCGCCCCCTGAATAAGTTTTATTTATATCTATTTTTAAACTGTGTGTGTGTGTTACTATTTTCCCTAGTGTACATAACTGCTACTGTAAGAAAATATCAGAATTTGGTACATACTTTTTAGAATTCCTTTTGCTTGAAAATACCCGATCTAATCCTTTGTATATTAAAAATAAGCCTGGTCCTGAGCTGGTTTAAGTTACCAGTACTGTTGCTATGACAACAACTCTCGGATGGGTTTTGAAGAAGGAAATGATCCTGGATCATGTCAAACCAATACCAGCTAATTGAGCAATCCATGTACGAAGAACAGACCCCATCAAATGTGATCCAATGCTCCACAGTAAATCATAAGTCAGTGTTTGCAAACCTGAGGGTGACAGAATTTCTCATGTTTTCATAACATGCCATTTTGCATTCATTTTCAGAGCCGAAACGGAGAACGAGAGCATGATCTCGCATGAGGATGACGAGGAGGAGGAAGAGGAGAAATACATCATAACAGCTCCGATTGCCCCTGTGCCGGACTCCCAGCCTGTAAACCACGTAAACGACAGCCAATCAAAGGCCACAGAGACGCTTACACCTGCGGCCACACAGACATCAGGACAGAGCGATCTGCAGACGACAGTGCTGCGCAGACAAGAGAGAGTCCTGCAGCTTCAGGAGGAGTATTACTCTCTCAAAATCCAGCATCTCAAACACAAGATCAGCAGAGACGCTCAACAGCACCAACAGCACAGTTAGTGCGTCCATTCACTACTTTCACTGTCAAAATGATCAGCACCCTTGGGAAACATGACCAAAGAAGGCTGTGGACAAAAATAGGATTGATTGTCCACTCGTTTCTGTGAAATGTAAGCAAAGAGCTTAGAATGACCAAGAGGCGACACTCTAGTGTAATTTGGGAAACAGCCACTAGAGGGTGCGGTGGCCATTTTGGAATGAAACCTCCAATTGAACAACAGCATATTATAAGTCTGTAAAATAAACTATTAAAAGAGCTGATGATTGTGATAATAAGTGTTGTATTGTCGTCTTTCAGGTTGTATCTAAGTTTTAATGCGCTTTTTAAATAAATAAATAAATAAAAAACAAAGCAGCTGCTTGCTATCGCAACAGTATTGGGATCCAATGGACAGCCGATCACTTTGACTCCAAAATGGCGGAATCCAGGGCTGTTGCTGGGCACTGCTGTTGCAATGAAACGTTCTATTGAGTGTTGCCTCTTGGTCATTCTAAGCTCTTTGATGTAAGGGTTTGTGAAATGTATTTGTTTTAAATGAAAGCATTTAAATGTTTGTATTTGAAAAGGGTGCCAATCATTTTGATCACATATGTACAGTTCAAGTCAAAATTTTTAGCCTTCCTAAATTATTAGTCACCCTGTACATTTTATTTCCCAATTTCTGTTTAATAGAAAGATTTTCTTGCAACACATTTCTAAACATAAGTTTTAATAACCCATCTTTAATAACTGATATATTTTATCTTTGCCATGATCACAGTAAATAATATTTGACTAGATATTTTTCAAGATACTAGTATTCAGCTTAAAGTGACATTTAAAGGCCTAACTAGATTAATTTGGTAAGTTATTGTATAACAGTGGTTTGTTCTGTTGACGATCGGAAAAAAAATAATGCTTAAGAGGGCTAATAATCAGGGTTTCTGCGGGATCTTATAAAGTCTTAATGTCGTCGGTGAAATAGCCTAGTGGTTAGCGCACTGACACATGGTGCAGTAGCACTTCCGGGCGTCCTGAGTTCGAATCCGGGCTCGAGGACATTTCCCGTCCCCACACCCCCCTCTCTCTCTCCTATTTTGCTTCCTGTATGAAATACTATCCTATACACTTGATAAAGGCATAAAGCCAAAAATAAATCTTTAAAAAAAAGTCCTAATGTCTTAAATATCAAAATCTGAATTTTAGGTCTTAAAAAGTCTTAGTTTTACTGAAATGTTGTGTTGTAGGTCTTTTTTTGAAACCGTTTATAATTTTCCTTTGTTCATGTATAGCTATCAAATCTGGCCGATACAACCCATACAATCACCAACAATGTACAACAAATAAAACTTTAATGAAACTTTTTTTTTACTTTATTTACCATAATAGTTTAATGATTTTTCTTACAATAACATTGGTTTAAAAGTGCTCCTTATATTTACTGCTAAGGACACCAATTGTCCTGTATAGATTTAGTTTATTATATATTTTTAAACTTTTATAACAGTCATTAATTTTTTTATTTTTTTTTAAGAAAATGTTTATTTTGGAACAAGTAGAGTTTGTTTTTATACAGTATTTAAAACATTTTGAAAATGTTCTATCTATCTGTCTGTCTGTCTGTCTATTCATCATCATCATCATATATATTTATATATAATTCATATACATTTAATTAAATAGCAAAAAAAATTCTTTTCCATCTGGACGTTTTGAAAGATTCCTTAGCATTTAGCCCTTTGAGTATAAAAATGTATTCATAGTGGTCTTAAAAATGTCTTAAAGTCTTGAATTTAACTTGGTGAAACCTGCAGAAACCCTGATTATTGTTGACCTTAAATGGTTCTTAAAAAACAATAAATGTAAAACTGTTTTATTCTAGCTGAAATAAAACTAAATAAGACTTTATCCAGAAAAAAAATATAAGAAATACTGTGAAGAAAATGAAATTAAAATAAAAAGAAATTAAATTTTCTTGCTTTGTTAATCATCATTTGACAAATATTTGAAAAAGAAAGTTGACAGGAGGGCTAATTATTCTGACTTCAACTGTATATATTCATACTGTCAAAAGCTTTCTTTGCAAATGTCAATATTCTCAGCTGGACTGTGGAGAATATACATCTGTCTTTGTGTACATATCTACTTCATATATTGCATATTTTGTCATAAATTGCATATTTTGACGTGTATATGTCATGTTTATTCTTTATCACTTAAACATGTTAATGAAAGATGTAAAGAGGAACGTTTCATTTAATGAAGTTTGTTTTTCATGGCACAGTTGTTGATGATTCTCAAACATTATCTCACCGAGGTTCAACTGAGCATTTCTGTTGCCTTTTTATTATTTTATTTTACTTGCATCAGTCTGAGTATCTGCTGGGTCTTAAAGTCTTAAAATGTATTAAATGTCAATAACCAAATATTAGGCCTTAAAGTCATAAATCCACTGAAATATAGGCCCAGTTTCACAAACATGGCTTAGGTTAAGCCAGGACTAGGCCTTAGTTAAGTTAGGCTATTTAAGACACATTTATAAAAATGGCCTTAGAAAATATTACTGGTGTGCACCTGAAGACAAAAAAAATAAAAAAATGACACTGACATATTTTAGGACGTGTCTCCGCAAGTTATTTTGAGTTGAGACAGCTCAAACATGCCAAGTAATCTTGACTAGCCTTGTTTGTGAAACGGGGGGATGGTGTTCTATTTCTTAAATCATTTTGAATGCTTCTTAATTTCCCTATGTCCATGTAAAGCTACCCAATAGGGCTGACACCCATCCCATTACTACAGTATATTTCAATAAAAGTTTTAAGAAACATTTATTTATTATTTCTATTTACTTATTATGGGTTCATTATCTTCCTTACAATAACATTTCTTTTTCATTTTTTTAAAGGTTTTAACTTAAGGTTTAAAATCATCAGCATTTAGCTTTGTGTAAGTCTAAAATTTCATTTATTATGGTCTTAAAAAGGTCTTAAAGTCTTAAATTTGACTTGATAAAACCTGTAGAAACCCTGTTTGTACTTGATGAGTAAAAAAATGGTTCTGTTTTATGTTATGTCTATGTAAAATGGGATACAAATGGAGTTTTGATCCTAATGTGATGTATGTCTGATGAAGAATAATGAACAATGTTCATTATGTACCATTATTGTTCCTTAAATGAATCAGAAACTGTGAATAAATATTTTATTCAGCAATGTTTTAGCAATTTTAATATAATATTAATAATAAAATTATAACAATTTACTTATTTACCCATTCAAATTTTAATGTTCTTCAATGTAATGTTAAATTGTATATATTTTAATGTCTATTCAATTATTGTGTATATTCAATATAATTTTTTTTCAAGTATTTGTAGATTTTAATACGATTTTTTTCATGATTTATTTTTTAATTGCCTATTTTGGCAAACATTGGCTTAAAAAGAAGTGTTCACTCAATCAAATACATGATGTTCCAAACCCTTTATTATGCTGTAATTATTATTTTTTTTTTCTCTGTTCACAAGCTCTAAAAAAGGACCAAAAATGAAAATATTTTCTATTGAAGACTTATTTATTATAGTGCACCAGGGGAATGGACTATTATGTGTGTCCTTGCGTCTGTCAAACTTTGTAATATTATTTTTGTGCTTGATTGAGCTGGGTCACTGTGAACTGTTAACCACTGCACAGCACTTCTACAAAAAACATTACATTTCATACTAGAAATAAGAGCATATGGGCTTGAGTGAAAGACAGATGTGTTCATTGTTAAAGTTTGTGTTACAGCTTTAACTATACCCCCCACCCTTTTCTTTTTAGTTCATTATCACTCTATTTCTCTTGTATTTTCACTTCCATTTCTCGTTCTATGTTTCCTTCCTGCTGTTATTTCTCACAGAAAGACATTTGATTTCTGCCTCTGATCTCTCCCTCTCTCTCTCTTTTTTAACAATGTCTGATGCCAAATTGGCTTGAAGTTTAATTTTTTGACTGTTGATTTTTTAAAAAAAATTTTTTTTTGAGGGAAAAATTTTTAGATCTGATCATGAAAGTAAAATAAACAACAATCCTAATTTTTTATTTTTTTTTTAAGAATGCTCTGTTGCATATGGATCAAATTGTGTTCAGTACAGGCTCAAATACTGAACTTGCCAGACCAGAGATGCATGCAATAAGGTTAAATAATTGTAATTAATTTTAAGTTAGACTGAGTTTTATGCTTTATTTTCATGATCTAAATCGTGAAGCACTTATTGCTGCTAATTTTTTCCCCATTAATCATTAAGGTCTTATTCATTTGAATACAAAATGTAGATGAAGCAAAATTAAGCAAAGATTTTTATTTCTGTTGCATTAAGGCAGATTAGTGCCACCTGGTGGAAAAAAGAATTAAAATAAATAATATCCAGACTCCTATCTATCTTGATATGTTGAAAGTGTCAGTTTTTTTGCATTATAATTACAGTCAAAGCTCATAATAAAATAACCTTTATAAAAAATAAAAAACAATCAGTCTGAAATCAACGTTAAAAATTAAAATTATAATGTAATAAAAATCTTGGCTATATTCCTTTAAGGGATCGAACAAATCATTTTGACCTGTTTAAATTGATTTACAAAAAAGTGCCATCAAATATTAATTACAATTTGTCGTATTAAAAATTAACGTATTTTATGTGTTTATTTATGTATGTAAATTTGTACACATGCATGTATTTATTTGAGAAATTGTGTTTTTACACTATAAAAAAAATACTTTTCGTGTATATACCTATATTTTACAGTCTATGGTATATGCACAGCTAGTGTTTTTCAGCTTTCCGGTGAAAGCTTGATGTGACTGTTTTCAATTTCACTGGGTTCCTTTTAAAGCTTCGATGTTGTAATGTCATTAAATACATTTAGTTAAATAGACTTAAGCATTCATTTAGTTGTTCAAGTGTAAAGCGAGATGAACGACCCTGCGCCATCAGGATCAGCAGACGAGTGCAGAAACTCTATTGAAAAGGTAAAATAAACTCAGATTTTAAAGACGTGGTGGGGAAAATGTAATTTACTGCAGTGCTTCTTGTCCGGTTTTCGACCAACTTTATATTATATATCTATCAGGCGGTGAAGATCACTGATTTTTGAAGAATCAGACCTTAAGCGGGGCGATTTTATAAAGAAGACAGTTAACCGGAAGTGTTGCGACTGTAATTGCAGCTGAAATTGAAAGTGCGTGTGCATAAATCTCCATACAAAAA